TTATAATAAATGGCGGCGAATCGGTACATCGTTGAGGTTGAGAAGGGAAAAGAAGGCGTCGATGGGGGAAGTCCGTCCGTCGGTTCGGTTTACCGGAGTATCTACGCCAAAGACGGTTTTCCTGAACCGGCCGATGATCTCATCAGTTGCTGGGATATTTTCCGGTTAGATATCACCTTTTGTTCTTTTTTTTTTTTTTTTTTTTTGGTTATTATTCATTGTGGATGTTGTTCTCGAATTCAAGAAAGCTATTTATACGTGAATGTTATGATAATTTGCAAGTTTTCTGGTTAGTACAAAACAAATAAAGTGTAAGAGAAGTACGTTATATATATAAAAAAGAGCTAACTATTTGAATCAGTGAATTTTGTTGTTCGATTCGAGGGTTTATCGTGAACATTTTTTTTCTTTTCCCGTTCATGCCTAGGCTCTGTTTAACTGTCGAGAAAATGTGGGAGAGCAGAATTTTGGGGTTGCTTATTTTTTGTTAATGAAAATGTCAAATTAACTTCGGCATCAGATTTTCCTTTTACTATAGTCAAATTTTTATCGCAAAAGTCCAGTCAATTTGATTATCGTTGACTTTGACTTCCATATGATGATCCTCATGCAGACACTTCAAAAATATGTAGTTATCTCCGAATGATTAGAGCTTAAGATCTAAGACAATGAGACTATGTTGCTTGTGTGCGTTTCTGTTCATGGTTATTATTGCTAATAACAAAAGAATTGATATGAATTTTTGGTGTGGTTGTTCTGTTCTAATTACAGTTTATCTGTGGAGAAGTCTCCAGATAATCCTATGCTTGGTCGTAGAGAAATTGTTGATGGAAAAGTAAGCAATCAATAACTATTAATCAGCAATTAATTAATCAACACAAATTCTTGTTTTTTGCGATTTTTATTATTGTCTTTTTCTTCCAACAGGCTGGGAAATATGTATGGCAAACTTACAAACAAGTATATGATGTAGTGATTAAGCTTGGAAACTCTATCCGAACTATTGGAGTTGGAAAAGTAATTACTGTCTCTTTAATTTTTCGACATTTTTGAATTATATACATATGATGCATCTAGAGTTTCTACATTTATTGTATGCTTTGTCACACGCAGGGAGAGAAATGTGGTATCTATGGCGCCAACAGCCCTGAGTGGATTATAAGCATGGAGGTGATATTGATTGAGATTTAAACTATAGTTGTAATTAGCAAAAACTTATGTGTTTTTTTTTAAAATGATTTCCTATTGATTTCAGGCCTGCAATGCTCATGGGCTTTATTGTGTACCTTTATATGACACTCTAGGTATGTAACATTTGCCTATTCTATCCATGGCCATTTTAGAGGAATTTTTCTAATCTGCATTTCCATATGGTCCATAATAAAATTAACAAAAAAATTATCTATATGTTAGAATATCCTTTTATTAAAGATTATTTACATACAAATAGAGTCTATAATTTAAACATTTGAATATATCTCATAAATCTTTTGAGCTGGCCCTAATAATAATCGATGAATTGTTGCGCGTTACAGTCAAGTTCATGTATGTATAATAGTTTGGATGATGCATTTGGTAGGTGCTGGAGCAATTGAATTCATCATTTGTCATGCTGAGGTATCACTTGCTTTTTCAGAGGAGAAAAAGATTTCTGAGGTAATTTCTTATCATACACTCTCTTTTCTCCATTTTAAGTTCTGAGAATAACAAAAAAAACAAATTGTTTTGTTGGGCTTCTCTTTTTGATGTTTCAGTTGTTGAAAACAGCTCCAGGTTCAACTAAATATTTGAAGAGTAAGTAAGCTATTCTTGTGTTTGATTGTTTGATGGAAGAAAGGCCAATGAATGAAACAGTTCTTATATTATTTTTGGAACAGATATTGTGAGCTTTGGTGAGGTTACAAATGAGCAAAGAGCAGAAGCTGACAAGCATGGATTAACAATATACTCATGGGACCAGTTCTTGAAGCTTGTAAGAGAATCATATTTGTATTATGTTCTAATTATACTTTTACATCATAATAATAAGAATTCTGAAAGTAAATGTGTTACTTCGAAGGGTGAAGGCAAACATTATGATTTACCAGAAAAGAAAAGAAGCGATATTTGCACAATAATGTATACAAGTGGCACAACTGGTGATCCTAAAGGAGTCTTGCTTACAAATGAGAGCATTATTTATCTTCTTGAAGGTGTTAAAAAATTGCTTAAAACTATCAATGAAGAGGTAACTTATTGTTGTTTATATCATCAGTAGTTCAATACATATCAAGAAGTGACCATTATAATAGTTTCTTCTTTGTTTCCTTTTGTGCGATGTTACAGTTAACCAGTAAAGATGTTTATCTCTCATATCTACCTCTGGCTCATATCTTCGATCGCGTCATCGAGGAGCTGTTTATTTATGAAGCAGCATCCATAGGATTTTGGAGAGGGGTAAGTTATAGAAATGTTTCTTTTGCATAATAGACATATATAAATTCGTTTCTTTTGTTTACAGAATCTGTTTCATTATATGTTCACTATCTGTTATTTCAGGATGTTAAGATTTTGATCGAAGACATAGCTGCACTGAAACCGACTATTTTCTGCGCTGTTCCTCGTGTGCTAGAGAGAATATACACCGGTAAATACTTTGCAAAACTAGTTTTAAAAAACTCGACAAGCATTGAAACTAATTCTTCTCTGTTTTTGTCAATTTTTTTCAGGTCTTCAGCAGAAACTCTCTGATGGTGGTTTGTTAAAGAAGACCTTATTCAACTTTGCGTTCAACTAGTAAGTGTTGACATTTTTTAGATCAAAAAGCAAAGTTTTGTAACTTGGAATCTCTGTTTTCTGAAACCTTTTAATACCTTTTTCAGCAAGCATAGTAACATGGAGAAAGGAAAGCCTCATGAACAAGCAGCTCCAATCTTTGACAAAATTGTATTTAAGAAGGTGAAGCTAAAAATGACATACATATATAAATGAACACTATGTCTTGATCCTGAAATCTTTTGATTGTTTACCAATATCTTGAAAACATTGAAAAAAACATTTTCAGGTAAAAGAAGGATTAGGAGGAAGAGTGCGTCTAATCCTATCAGGAGCAGCTCCTCTTGCAGCTCACATCGAATCTTTCCTTCGAGTTGTCGCATGTGCTCATGTTCTTCAAGGATACGGTAATGAACAAAGAACCTTACAACACATCAAACTGATCTTGGTCTTAATAATAACAAAGACTTTCTCCTATTGATGAAACAACTTTTTACTTTTGCAGGTCTAACAGAGAGTTGTGGTGGGACATTTGTGTCGATCCCAAATGAGCTTAAAATGCTTGGAACTGTGGGTCCACCGGTTCCAAACGTTGACATAAGGCTCGAGTCAGTCCCAGAGATGGGTTACGACGCTCTTGCGAGCAAGCCACGTGGAGAGATTTGCATTAGAGGAAAGACTTTGTTCTCTGGTTATTACAAACGTGAAGATCTCACTCAAGAAGTCCTCATTGATGGTTGGCTTCACACTGGTGATGTTGGTGAGTGGCAACCAGATGGAGCCATGAAAATCATCGACAGAAAGAAGAACATCTTTAAACTTTCTCAAGGAGAATACGTTGCTGTTGAGAACTTGGAGAACATTTACAGCCACGTAGCTGCCATTGAATCGGTATTGGCAAGATCCGATTTACGGTTTTGGTTTCAATTCTGTTTTTGTTCGGTTTCTTTTTTTTTTATCGGTGTTCAAAATTTATGCAGATATGGGTATATGGAAACAGCTATGAGTCTTACTTAGTGGCTGTGGTATGTCCAAGCAAGATACAGATCGAACATTGGGCTAAAGAACACAATGTTTCGGGAAACTTTGAGTCTATCTGTCAAAACGCAAAGACCAAAGAGTTTATCCTTGGAGAATTCAACAGAGTGGCCAAAGACAAAAAGGTTTATAATTTGTTCATTAGTCTTCTTAATTCTTGTTTCTTTTCTTACAACAGTCTTTTAAATAAGAAAAATTCTTACAGCTGAAGGGATTTGAGCTGATCAAAGGTGTTCACTTGGACACCGTCCCATTCGACATGGAAAGAGATCTTATTACACCTTCTTACAAGAAGAAAAGGCCACAGCTTCTCAAGTACTATCAGGTAGATTAAAAGTCTTTATCATTTTCAATTTTTCACATAAACAAGTAAACAACACGTTCAGGATACATAAGAACTTTAGATTATCTCCAGACTTAATGATGTATTGAGGTTTTCTGAATCGAATTATCATAACTTCTGTTCTTATTTACGCAGAAAGAGATTGATGAAATGTATAACAAGGCAAAGAAGTGAAGCTTTTATACTACTCTGCAGCTAGTGTGAAGAAGGAATTTGTTGCACAAGTCTCAGGGTTTAATGTATTTCTGTTTTCACTGTAAATCATATTGCTATATGTGTCTGTGTTGTGTTAAGATCGAAGTTGATTGTGCCAAAGAAAAAAACTACATCATAAGTTTTATTTTTTGCTTGTAAAACAAAGATGTCTGCCTTCCTTGTACTAAACATACCCACCTCATGTTTTTGTGTTTTTGTATTTTATATTGTGATAAAAATCCTCTGTATAACCCAAAATGTATAATTTTCTATTTCAGTGTTTCTTAGTAGATCTACTGAGTATATTTTCTCTAATGAGTTGGTTGAATAGATTCAGTGAAACCAACTACTAAATTTAGAGAGTTAATACCTTGTAGAAAACAAACTTAGGGGAAAATGTTCCAAGTGTGATGGCCAATTTTTCAAAACAATTATTCGTTTTTCTGATTTCATATTATAATATTTTTATCAAAGTTTACCTATCTTTAGAAGACAAAAGTATGTTATAAGATGAGAAAATGATATACATTATAATTGAGGAAAAGATTCAGAGTCACTTGCTACTAAAGTTCAACATATCAACAACACATGTGATACTTTGTTGGTCTTTTCTCAAAGCAAGATTTTTTACTAAAGCAAGATAAGTACTCAACATAAGTTATAACGAACTCACATTTCATTTAAGGACTGTTGTTGAGTGTTACAACTGATCACCAAGAAAAATAAAACACAAACGACAAAGACATACACATGTTTTTTGAGCTACAAGGAAAGAAAAAACAATCCTTGCAAAATCTCACAATAACCCTTTTTAAGAGAAGGAAGATCTCACAAAACACTATCTTTCTCTATCTTCCTCTCTCTCTCTCTCTCTCTCTCTCACCATATATTTATATATAAATTTAAAAGCATTGAATTTTGCGTAGAAAGAGGATGAGCACCTTCACTCTTCTTTAAATTTTTTGAAGAGTCTTCACTGTCTCTTCACACCTTTCTTCCACCCTTCCTCAACCCTTTTATATTCACCAGAGAAACCCGAAAAAGAAAAAAGCAAAAATGAAGATAAAAGACCAAACCTTTCAACGTTCTTGACGAACCAGAGGGAAAAACCAACACTTTCTATTTCTTCTTCTCACGACCTATACACACTATGATTTCTTAGGATCCTTCGAAGTTGTTTGTTGTTGTCTGGTCAAGCCAATGTGTAGTTTGAGACGGCTACATTTGCGGGAGATGTTGAGTGAATGTAAACGAACTCTAGGGATTTTCCGGATTGCAATGAGTGTATCCACGAAGGTAAACCAAATGAGTTTCCAGATCTTGAGAGTCCCCAGATTGGTCCGTAGAGATTCTTGATCGAAAGGTTTACACTTTTCAGAGCTCTTGGTGATTTGTTAATCACAGTTGTTGAGTATCTGTAGTAAGTCCTTCCCTTTGAGACCCATGAACTAGTCATCTTTTGAACTATAGCCACTGGACCAGAAGCTGCACAAGTAATCAATGAAGTCAAGTCTCTGTTCAATAGAGAGACATTCATAGATTCACATGTAGACAAGCGAACATACCTCGGACCGGGGAGGTTACTTTCGGTTTACGGATAGGCATTGGTCTTCGGACAACAGGAGCTGGAACCACTGCAAGGATACAACAATAAAAGGAAAAGGCAAACTATTTGAGTTCCAATGATCTTCTTTAGGAATCCATGTAGGAACAATGTTTTGAATCTCAGACACAAACCTGGAAGAAGCTGGCTATAACCGGAATGTCCGCTGCTGAGACGAGCAAGAACACCTAGGAGTGGTGCATTGTTGTAAGTAGCAGGCTCAGTCTGCTCATAGTTATCTCTCCTGTCAGCGAAATTGTCGTAAGCATCAGGGCCACCGACAATAGCACCAGTGAGAAGGTTCGGGTCACTGCCTTTACGGCTGAACCAGGTGGCATAACCACCTCGGCAAGTGACAAACGTGCGGTCAACTTTGTAAGAGACGATGGAGGAGCCTCTGTGGTGAACTCTCTGAGGGAAATTGTTACCATATCCAACCATATAGCTCGTTGCTCTTGGGTTATCTCCAAGAATATAATCCACCTGAGAAAGAAAAAGAAGAATTTATCATCAAACTGTTGAAGATAAATACTAATTTTTCTCAAGCGCGGTGCCATAAAACGATCCTTTACCTGAGATTTAGCGAAAGAAAGAAGCTGCGAAGGAGCGACATTTCCAGAAGAACATCTCAAGTTGCTTCGAGAGGAAGTTAGGTAATCAGAGTAAACCGTGGTCAAGAAGGAAGCACTTGTGACAAACTGCATATTGTTCCAACGCTGTCTGAAAATCAAACCACCTGGAGTCTTCTGAATGTTCCTCAAGCCTTTACCCAACAACGAACACATAAAGAAATCAGCCTTCTGTTGAAACCTCTGAAACACAGGCGTGTGACGTCCTGCTTTGCCTTGCATCAAGAACTGTAAAAACAAAAACAAAAACAAAAAACGGTTTAGAACCAAACAAACCAAGATAATCGAACCGGTTAGCGACAAAATTCGAAATTGGGTTGTACTAACCTTGGCAACAAGGGTTTGAACACCAGCGTACTTGACGTCCCAACCGAACTCGGTCATGGACCAACCAGTTCCACCCATGGAGTCACCGTTACGACCCAAGTAGTCCAAGTAGAACTGATTGTTCGAAGCTTGGTATAGCCACGCAGCTGCCCAAAGTAATTCGTCCTGATCATTGAAATTAAGATCAATTTCAGACATTAGACAACAGATTAATAAGACCATTAATCTCTAATCGAATGTTTTCGGATCTTACATTGTAACCACTGACGGATCGGTAGTATTTCTGAGCAACGGTGATACTGCTGTCGTATTTTCCTCTGTATTTGTCGGCGAAATTAAACAGCTGAAACAAAATAAAAATAAAATTGAATTTAGAATGGCAAATCCGTAATACAAACATATGAAATAAGGTTAGTTTAGAAACTTTAGTGTGGAGTGGCAGACTCGTGATTTTGTTGAAGACGAAAGGTTAAATTGGGAAAGGTTGTTACACAGTATGGGGCACCGACAGCCCAAGGCACGTGCGAAGTGTTTATATGAAAAATCAATATTAAAATAGAAACTTAAGATGGACGGCTGAGATCGTTTAGAGAAAGGGAAGACGACAAGATTTGTACGGTCACAACACAAAAAACCCGTGATGGACGGAGAACGACGTCGTTCCCAACCCTCTACAAAGGATCCATTCTTTGCGGGGTCCACTTACGGGATCAGCGACACGGTACCGTTTAGCTTGTTTAAATAGTAGTACTGTATTAGCTCTTTTCTAGATTATAGCAAGCTACTGTGTTGTTGTCAAAAAAAAAGTAAGCTACTGTGTTTTAAAAATTAATAAATTCTACATTCAAAAGAGTTAGAATCCCTAATTTGCTAAAACTCCTGGTGAGTAGAGACTGATATAACCTTAGCAAATCTCAGAGAATATTTCTTTTTTAAGCATTTATAAATTAATGGGTTGCAATTAGGATGTAAAACAAAGATAAAAATTTCCGGTAAACATAATTTTCAGAATTTGTCATTTTCATTACTAAAAACGACGCCTCGAAATAACGCCTAACGTGCGCTGAAAATGACTTTTAAGTGACTTTCTACTGTTGTGCAATAATAATGTGTCTCTGCAACCTCCCAACGTAACTGTCCGTAAAATTTAATATGACCAACACTTTATGCTTAACGTGCGCATCCTAACAAATCGACCATTAGTTAAAAATACGCCGAAAATTTTTAAAGAGTTACCTGATAAGCGTGGGTGAGCAGTAACCTAGAGTAAGCAGGGTTAGAGCGGCGGAAGACGATAGAAGCGGCGGCCATGGCGGCTGCTGTTTCTCCGGCGAGATCCGACCCGGGATTACTCGGATCTATCCGGTAAGCTTTTCGGTCCGTCGTCATTTCTTCCGGTCTCTGCCAACAGTAATGGTCGGTGTTGCCGTCTCCGACCTAAAAAAAAAATCATAATTAATTGAGAAATTAAAAAGGAAATCCTTCTTTATTTATGAATTAATGTAATAAAAAAAAGAGAGTACCTCGCCGTAAAGGACGTTGGGCTCAGGATGGGCTTTGATGAAGTAATCAGTGCCCCATTTAATGGCATCAATGGAGTGGCCAAGCTCGCCGTTAGCCGCTAACTGATTGCCGTATTCGATGACGCTCCAAGCCATCATCGTCACCGTGAATGCCATCGGAAGTCCAAATTTCACATTGTCTCCGGCGTCGTAGTAACCTCCGACCAGATTCACCTGAATTTTTTTACAAAACAGGAACAATGTCGGCGTCTGAACGGAGTATAGATCTACAGCTAATTGTCGGTCTCAAAAAAATCAGGTACAAAACAGAGGTTGATTCTCTAGAAGATTAGCGTTACTATCTGGTTTTTAGGTGATAAACGGAAAGCATTATAAATCTAGAGAGAGAGATGAGATGAGACATACGCCGCTTGATTTGCCGTCGTTGAGACCGGAGTGAGAGCGCCAAGTGACTCTCTGGTTACGAGGGAGGACGCCAGATCTCTGAGCTTCGAAAAAGAGAAGACTCTTGGAAAGTGCTTGGCCGTAATCATGGCCGGAGAAAGCTACCGGAAAACAGAGTAGCAGTAACAGAGCAGCCACGGACGCAGACTTCTCCATAGTGAAAAGCAAAAACACAAAGACAAAAAAGAGAGAGAAGAAAGAGAAATGCCGGCGAGGTAATCAGCTAAAAAGCGCTGAAATAGCCAGACTAGAGAGGCAGAGACTGAGAAGGAGGAAGAAGAAGAAGATGGGATTTGTGAAGACGAAGTGACGAGCTAAAGTGTTCTATATATGGAAGTAGAAAGGAGAAAGCAGGAAGGTACCAAGAGACAGAAATTTTTGACAGTTAGCATTCATTAAATGATATTTTATTTTCGTTTTTTTAATTATGTACAATGTTTGGTTCATTGAGTATAATTATTACTCCTGCTTTTTTAATTCGTGTTAAGTTTTGGTCGAAATTTTGAAATGCACATCACCATTACGAAAATGATTTTCTTTCTGAAAAGTCTATAAACTGATTGTGTCGTCCGCATTAATCATAAATTAATTACAAAACAGCTATTGGTTTTTTAATTAAAGTAAATTGCCATATTTAGGATCTCAGAGTAATTACAAAACTTATTTCGACAAAGAATAATAATTTTTTATATAAAAAAAGGGGAGAGAAGAAAATGAAAAGAACAAAGTCATGTTGAGTGTTCCCATGAATCTTTTAGGTCTTTTTCCACATAGGGGCGACGAGGTAGTTGATAAATGTGTTTACATTCACACATAAAGTGATTAAAAACTACAGTAGTTTTATTTTTAGTAAAGATCAATTTTTAATGGTGAATTAAAATTAATCTAACAGTACTATCATCAAGGCGTTATGTGCTGAGTGTGAAGGCGAGGAGTTTTAAAAGCAAAAGCAGCCCAAATGACTCTAAAAAACTGAGAAAAAGTGAAAAAGGTGATGTCCTAATCCTCCGAAGAATACATATACTTTTACATAAGATAAAAATTAGACGACAAAAAATACATGTCCACTAGAAACCTAAGTTACTGTTCTTTGTTTCCTTTATTAAACGCTCTTTTTGAATTTTTTCTTTCTTTTTTATATAACAATAATGATTTGAAAAATAACACCATAACCAGTTTAACATACTTTAACCATATTAGTTTTTTTTTTCTTCCGATGTTTTGCTTGTATGTTCGTAAAAGCATTGCAAGTATTTGTTAGTACTACTAAGTTATGATATTTCAAAAGATGGTTACGAATTTAGAGGGAGTATAAATCAAGAGTCCGAAATTATGATTATTAAAACAGGGGAAAAACAAAGAAACAATCTGGTAAAATGACAATAGCAAAAACCAGAGGACACTAATAAATAGTACAAATTCTAAAGAAAAACAAGGACATACAAGTAAATTTAAAGAACAAACAGAAAATACGATGACCAGTGGCATTGACATTTGGTTTTTCTGTAAACCTTTACATCTGAGGTTAACACTAGTACAAATTCTTAGGTTACAAACATCGATCCTAACTTACTTTTTATAGTTGAACAACAAAGTATACTTCTTCAGTAACGGTAAGAAAATTTTATAGATAGGACTCAAACATTAAAATTTTTATACATTTGCTTTTTTTTTCCTCACATTTGTTTTGTTTTTCGATCTCTGCGTGCGCATAAATCCACCTATGCAATGGAAAAATGAAATCTTATAAAATCCACCGACAATTTAGCGACTGGAAACTATTTTATTTGTATTAATTTGGCTATGGCCTATGAGTAAGAAATATATTTTTGGTGATATGTGAACTTACAATTTGTATAAATTAATTACTTTAGATACATAATACAATTATATCAATACCAGTAACATCTATATTTTTGTTCTATTTTTTATGAATTAAAAGTGCTTCATCCTGATAATCCAACCAAATTCCATTTGAACCAAATATGCTAAAGAAAATTAAATCAGATCGAAACTTAGTTAAAATCTGAATTCTAATTGTTTTTACTATATTTAAATTAATCACGTTGCTCTCATCAACTTTATAAATTAGTTTTTAATTACTCGGATACGTAATTACAAGAAGAGAAAAGACAAGGAAAAAATGGGACAAGCCTCCTTGTCAGATGGCTTTATTCCCAACCGCAATCAACGGTCTCCCGCCGAATAATTATATTTACAACGTTACCCTTTTTCTCTTTTTTTTTTTCAACTTTATCACACACAAATGGTCTCTCTCTCTTTATTAGTTATTATTTTATTTCATAGTGTAAATATTTTATTCCAATTTTTCCAGGTTTGCTTTTTTTCTTTTGACCGTATATAATCTTATCTTTCAGCGTATATAATAAAAATAATTTTATGTAATAATTTTTTGTCGTCTAATTTTTATCTTATGTAAAACTGAGTATTTTAATTGATTTGATATCTGCTAATTAATATATTATTTAACTGCGATATGAAAAGTTATCTGACGTGTTAGCAGAGGTCAAAGAGGCAAAAGCTCCGGTTTGACTGACTGTCGCCGGTTGAGTCACGGCCACGGCAACGTTCCACTCACACTCAGGTGATAATTTTGGTTTGTGTGTACTTCCCAACCAATAAAAACCAATCAAAGTAAATGATATATTTTTACAGAATGGGTAAATAAATAAGAAAAATGATTATATCATATATACCTTGCTGTATCGTGTGTATATATCTATATCAACTAAATCAATATTTTCGTAATCCGTCCCTATATTCTTTCGGTTTGGTTTGCATTTGTTCGGTTCATTAGTAAGTGAGCGAATTTAATTTAAAACTGATGGATTTTGTCATAGCGTAACACAAGAACAATTAGCAGATTGATGATTATAATTTGGCAATATAACTTTTGTTCAGTTTCTCCATGTATCTTATAAATTAGTTTGGAGTTTAGTATGAAATTGTTTGGGTAAAAAAATTGACCGAGAGAGTTGAAATGCCAGACTATATATACTATATACACACACGAAGGATCTTAGTTGACATCAGAGGATATTACATGTAGTTCGTAGTCCGCTCTGGTCATAGAAGTAATTAATACTTTAGAAAGGAACAAGCACGTTTACCTCTCTTTCAAAAAATAAAAATAAAAATAAAAATCACGTTTAATTAAGATTAATTTGTGTTTGCTATCGTTTCAAGGGAATTGAGACTTATTTGCAGTTTTAACTCTATTTGTGTGAGTCCGATTGGTCTCTAGACTGTAGCTGCCAAACACCATTTGAGTTATATCAGTAGAAAAAACAGACGATCCGCTGCAGAATTATACCCTATTTCACGGGCTTAACCAAACACGTAGTGCTTCCACAACCTCTTTTATAACAACATGGTTCTCTTTGTTTTTAGTTTCATTGCAAAATGTAATTTTCAAATGTGTATTCCTTTTGTATAGATTTATCGTGATTGTGCGGTAATCTTGTGCATGAGGCTCTGAATGTAACCGTTTTTGGTTCTAATGCAAAATACACTTTTACCAAAAAAAAAATAGAAAACGGGCATTTCATATGGTTATATATGAACTTGTCGTTTGGAGCATATCTCGATTTATCTAATGCAAACTTAAGGATAAGGAAATGGTTACTTAAGGCGTACCTGCCTTCTAACAAATAAAAACAAAAAATTAAGGCTTACATGGATCGTTTTTGTGTGTGTTGTCAACAAATGGGTAGTCATAAGGCATTTATAAATCACTTTTTTACTACTACTTTATTAGGTTTGACATTCACGAATGACATCAAAAGTTATAGTGCGGAGTGGGAAAATATATATCTTATTAGTTATAATACTTCAAATATTTAATATAATGAAGTAATGTTTTTTCATCTATCGCAACACAAGTTCTACCTGGGTTGAATTAGGTGGTAACGTAAAGTTACAAATTCTGAGAAGATATATATTAGAATTTAGAAAAAAAAAATTATCACCCTTTTTTAGTTCACTGAAACATTTTCAGTATATATTATATAAACGGTTTTGGAATACCAAGCCTGCAAAAAAACAAAAATATCCTGAAATCTAGTCTGATAAACAGGAAACTAAGTCAGATTAACAACGGAAAACATTAAAAACTAGACTAAAAACAATAATATAAGCTGTAAACTGCTTAATTTGAAATCGATAAAAAAACGACTTAAAAACAAGAATAATAGCTTAACAACGATTCCTGACAGTAAAATTATGAAAAATTACACAGGCTTACTCAACTTTTATAGTTCAAAAATACATAAGTCCATGCTAACTGTGAGATTACCATGACTTTCATCTTCCTAACAAAAACAAACGAATGGGAGACGATGATATAAAGCTATTAACAATAATTAATAAAGTATTTTCTTATAACTATGGAAGTTTTGAACTGAACTCCAAATAACTTTCTAACGATGTACAAAACTAAAAACGAGCGTCTTTAGTTTAGTCTAGGGCTTTAGCGTTAAAACCGTCACGCCATCAAATGGAGCCTCGAGGCCTCTTTTTTACATGTAAATGGGTAAATGGCTCCATGAGTGAGGCTCGCTAAAAAGAGAGAGTAAAAACTGATTTTGCAACTTAAGAAAACAATGATATACTGTGTCTTTTTTCCAATATAAAAGTAAATGAAAATTCAAAAAAAAAAACCTAACGCTAAACAAATAGAAATAATCAATTTTATAAGTTATTATAGCTTAATGGTCCTATTGGGTGAAAATAAATCAAAGGTCTTTACCAATATAGGGCCATTAACCTATAATTTGGAATAATATAATAATTAATTCCAATTTAACTTTTAATTGTGTACGTCTTGAAATTATAACGATAGCATGAGGTCCCTAGCTATACGATCGAGCATATAACCCGCATGCAACACCAAATGATCAAATTATTGGGGATAACAAATAATTACATTACCATTTCTTTAGCGATATGTTTTTTTATAAAATAAAACATATTTATTTATAGACACAAAAAGTGTTACTAAATATTTTTAGGTGAGAGGATTCTCCACGCGTAACAGATAACTACCGCGCAAGGACTTTTGAGGCCCATAGGAGTTCACACGTACGAAGTAAAAGACACGTGTCCCTACAAAGATCTCTTACGATTTTGATGTTTATGTGTATTGTCATATTATTGTTCCAATTCTTTTCATTTTTTATTTTTCACATTCTTATAATGTACATTGTCATTTTTGTTTGTCGTACATTGTCATTTTACATTGTCAATTTGTCACATTAATCCTTTTCATATTCTCTTACGATTGTGATGTTATTATTAGTTATTACTATTTTTTTTCCTCTAACCAAAACATCAGTTTTTTTTTTGGTTTTAAAACAACGAAGTGACTGGAGAATCAATTTTAACCAGGTTTGTAAATGGTAGACCATGTGAAAAAACGTTCTCTTTAATGTTTTGGTATAATATTTAGAGTTAAGTGGCTGAATACCAACAGATGATTAATTTATTAAGGAAATGGGAAGCAAAGTTTATAAATAAAGGAAATACAATAATATTATTTCGTTGTAGACAAGTTTACCCTTACAACTGAATGAAACAAATTCTGCAGAGAACATTTAATGCTTATATAGTTCAGGGGACAAGATATAAAAAAATACAATTGAGATATTGTAAGAAAATCTTTCGCCGTTCATACCTTGTAAAGGTAACAGGTAACTGATAACTTGTTATTTTATTAAATATGTTCGATGGTAGATATAACATATATATTTTATTTTTTTTAAAAAAGAGGTTGGTAGTGTTGATGTATTCAGGTAACCTAGTAACGGCGGCCAGTTCAACGGGCAAAATAATCATAAGAAGGATGAGATTCAGTTTGCTTTTAAAGTTATCAACTAATATCTTATTATCGGTGTAACTAAATTAGCGGATATGTTGACAGATAACTCTGATTTATAGGCAACTTTCAAAGTTGATTGGCTAAATACTGCAAGTAAGTTTATATGTTAGGAAATATAAAATGATAAGAACAAAGTAAAAGGTAACTGATAACTTGTTATTTTACTAAATGTGTTTAACGGTAGATATAACATATATGTTTTATTTAATAAAAACTGAATATGGTAGTGTTGATGTATTCAGGTAACCTAATAGCATCAGCCAATTTAACTGGCATCAAGCGAAATAACCAAAGGAAGGGTGAGATCCAGTTTACTTTTAAAGTTATCAACTATTATCTTATTATCGGTGTAACTAAATTAGCGGATGTGTTGACAGATAACTCTGATTTAGAGGCAACTCCAAAGTTAACTGGCTAAACACTGCAGATAAGTTCAAGTAAATATTAATATATGTTGGGAAATAAACAACGATCGAATGAAGAATGAAGTATGTTCAAATAACATTATGTCCAGATAACTTTGTTAGCCGGATAATGGCGAATGCTACTCTACAAATGTTGGATACGTGGAGACCGGGGATGGTACGACTGCCAACTGCGAAGACGGGACACTAATGGGTAAGTGTTAACTATGTTAACAAATATATATAGTTAGCCTAAACCATGAACGATGCTTGGAGCGGCTAAACCATGAACGATGCTTGTATAATGCTGAATTTCTGATATGTAATAACCCTCTAGCCCAAAGGTTCAGCTCCAGTGGCTATTATCCTCTTGGGTAACTCATTATCAGACATCTGCATATATGTGACACTAGCTACCTTAAATCAGATGCCACTAACCTAGAACAGATAACTCGGAAAATTGAAAACAGAACTCATATTTACCTTGTTTGCGAATAGAAACTTCGGATTTCTTCAAAAAAAATAATGATATCATGCACCAGATTGTCGCTCGCCGTCGAAAACGAAATTTGGAAACTCTTTTGAGTTGTAGAGATAACCGATATCAAATGGTGGTTTTTGTCAGAAACCTTAATCTCTGTTCTTTTTTTCCTCTCCCTAAAATAATTAAATAATCTTTTTCAAAAAACTTAGATATTGTTGTCGGATCTACTAACACACACACAACTTGACTGAGGGACCCATCTATTTCTTTAACATATTCTAACAGCAAATTCGAAAAACTCATTATAGGAATTCAATTGTCTTTCTATTGTGAACAGAATGATAGCACAATACCAATTTTCTATGGCTTAATTTCCAAATTGGTAGATTGTGCAATTACTCTAATATTTACAATGGAGTCTGAGGTTTAATGGCAGCAGGTCCCCTTGAAGTTTAAAGCTTTATCTTCCAGCTTTTCTCCTTCCACGTTCGACGGAGAACTAATTCCTATACATATTTCATTGTCTTTGTTAATTTTTTTTTCCACTCTGTAATACCAAATACAATTTTAAATCTTAAACTACAGTCTACAACTATAAGCAAGCATAAATAATCAAAACAAATTGCAATGCTGACGTTGGTAATCTTATTAAATTTTTAATAGTTGTTCTATTTGGCTTAAAATCTGTATATATAAAATTTTACTTGAGTGGGGGGACAAAATTCCCTTCTTACAATATAAATAAAAATAGAATAATATTTCCTCCGTTTTACAAAGAGTGTCATTCTGACATTTTTTTTTTAAAGAATGTTACTTTAGAATTCCAATGTAAATTTTGACATAAAATATGTTAGAATCCCACATCGGGAAATTAAAGGGACTAACACTAATATATAAGGGACTTGGGCCTCTCCACTTATCACCAATTAGTTTTAAGTTGGAAGTCCAGGAAACTTAACATGGTATCAGAGTCTCGTTTGTTGACCCAATAAGGATGGCCCAAAAAGGGTTTATTATCGGTCTTAAAGTGGAATTCGGTTCGAGATGGATTGATAAGAGCCATCATCTCGAGGGGGCGTGTTAGAATCCCACATCGGGGAAATTAAAAGGACTAACACTAATATAAGGGAGTACTTGGGCCTTTCCACTTATCACCAATTGATTTTAAGTTGGAAGTCCAGAAAACTTAACAAAATACCATTTTTAACCTCAAAAATAAATTCAAAAAATTAGATATAAATATAATTCCAAAAGTTATTTTCTGCAAATTAATAAAGGTATAAGAAATATTTTATCTTATTTTTTAATTTATATGAAAAATATTAGAACGACACTCTTTGTGAAATGGAGAGAATATTATTAATTATATTAATATCCATATTGGAGTTTGAGGATTATATAAAGATTGTTTTAGAATAAGGAGTCGTAGATATTAATCTACATAGTTAGTTCAAAAATTAAACAATTCTTTTAAGGTGTTTTCTTTTTTTCTCGCCTTAGAAGCTCATCATAATTCACCTGAATTCATAACAATATATATATATGAAATACACTTCCCACTTCATTTTTGATTTTTTTTTTTGTACAAAATCCTATAGGGTTTTATTATGCTTTATAGTTTTAACTTAATTTCTATTACTCTTATACTCCATTATTCTAAAAATCTGTGATAGTGTCCTACCGTGGCAGACCAATTTTATACCTAATTTTGTCCATACTCGCGAATATATATGCCTTTTAAAAAAGAAATAAAGCTATATATATATATATATAATCATCATATGTTTCCACTATTATTACGTTGACAAGTTTATTTCAAAACAATCGAAGAAAGAGGTTGTGATTTCCGCAATTGAAGCGTGGACGTACTACGTATCATATCATATTCAAATGTCACTCACTTGTATAATTTAGAAATTGCCGTAAAAATTTTAGAAATACCTTTTTGGGGGTCAAAGATATACCTTTTTATGATTGCATTCTAATAAATAATAAAAAAACCCTACTATTCGATTGAAAAAAAATATATATATATATATATATAAAGCACTAGTTGCGAGTTGTGACTGAGTGTATATCAAGGTAGACTACTACCGTACGTGAACAGTGAGCCAATCGCGGAATAAACATCGCTATTTTTCTTGTTCTTTACCTCATTTTCTTTTCTTTTTTGACGGCCTTACCACCCTTTTTCTAATTGTTACTTGTTTAACGGCGATTCTATAATTTATTATCGGTTATTTAATTGTACAAAGCCTGGACGCAAGCCGTGCGAATATTATTTTCTCCCACCATCCATTTATTTTATACCAATTATTATGATGACGTCTAATGATATATCATACTATTTTATATAACTTTGGGAAACTCAAATTCTCTTTTTGAACAAGAGCATTTTAACATTTCAATTTTGCTATATACATACTGGATTCGATTGTGACATAAAACTCCATCTATTTTATTAAGATCATGTTCTAATCGCAAACGTTTAATCTTGATCTTTGACTAGAATAGATTTTAATGCTTTACCGAGAACCAGAGTTGCATAGTACTAAGAACAGACTAAACCATTGGTCAAAAAAAAAAAAAGAACAGACTAAGACCATCTCCAACAGGGGGTTATTAGAGAGTTGTTAGGAAGTTGTAAACCCATTTTACTATTAAAAATAAAGATTAAAGCTAATAAAACATAATAACCGTTCTTTGATGAAGAGTTTTAAGGATTCATTATTAACTCCATACGTGTCATTATCTTGTTGGTGGAAACAATAAGAATTTTTTTTTTTTGGTTTTTCACTCAGAAAACTCTCAAACACCGACCATTTTCTCTCATACGAGAATGAGAAAAATTTTGCTCTCTCTTTTATGAAGAAATCGAAACCGAAACTTCATCTCAAAATCTCACCCGATTTATCTCTCTGATGAAATTCAATATCCTTTTTTGACTTGCATGTGAATTCAAATGGATTGAGGGCTGGAAAATCTCTCTCACCGAAGCTCTTCTGACCGGAATCTTTCTCACCAACACTCAGATAAGTTTCTCGACTCTCTTCAAATTTTGTAGATCAATCGGTTAATTATGCTTGCTGAATCGATTTACTTGTGGAACGCCTTCGATTGCTGATTAGTTAAGGTTGATGAATGAATCGATGAGGTGAACTCTCTAAAAAATTCAGCTGATGCATGATTAATTCCACTTGATGAATCGATTAGTGGTAGCGATGTGAAGGTTGGAATTGTTTTCCGATCCCACTTTGTTTAGGCGCTTGTAAGTTTGATTTCCTGAGTAAACGTAAACCTGTTTTTTCTTCTTATCAGATGGATTTGGTTCTGGTGACATCTATGTCGACATGGAAAGGTTTTGCTCTGAGTTTGGTCTGTTTCTTCAAGATAATCATAAGTTTCTGGTAAACAAAGACTTTCAAACTCTTTAGATCATCATGGACCCATCAAGTTCTTTTCTTCATATTAACTTGTTGGTTTTATATTGCAGAATCTATTTGTTGCTGCTGCTAGGCCTGTTCACGAGGTAGCAGGACTAATTGGAGGTAACTAACTTCTCTTATGAATCATATTTAGAGCATGTTGACTAGATATGGTTTCAATGCTTTGTAGTGTTAGGGTAATGATGATAGATATGGTTTCAATGCTTTGGATTGGTTTATGATGATAGATATTGATTCATGTTATTGCTGATATTGGTGTATGAAAGAATGGTTAATGCTGTGTGATCAATGCTGCTCGGTTAGGTGACTCTTAAATGTGATTTTGACTGCTAACCACACTAACATAAGTTTCTCTAAAAGCTTTCACCTTAACATAACTAAAAGCTTTCACCTTAACATAACTAAACCCGAAACCTTTCAGCTTTAAAGAATAAGACATAAATTTTATAGGTGAACTCTTTCCTTCTCATTTAAACCCCATCGAGCATTTACCTTTCTCTTTGTTTCTCTTTGTTTCTATTTATATCTCCTTTCTCTTTGTTCTCTTTATTTCTCCTTTGTCTTTGTTCTCTTTGTTTCTCCTTTCTCTTTCCTTTTCTTTTTCACGCCTTCCTCCTTTCATCACTCAAACCAAACACATATGGATTCTCCATATACTGGGTCTTCGGGGTTCATGGATCTTCTAAACAGTCAAAATAATACTCAGAGCCATGAACCCACTGACGTCGACTGTATTTCACCAAGTATACATCTTGGTGACTCTGAAGCTCAAGTTTTTGGTACGACATGGTCTGATGCTCTAAGCCAAGATGAAGGCACACCCAAAACCGTAAAACCAAGAAGAATGTGGAGTCCATTGGAGGATAAGGTGCTCATTAGTGCCTGGCTCAACACAAGCAAAGATCCAATCGTTGGTAATGAGCAACGATTGGATGCATTCTGGAGAAGGATTGCTCATTACTTCAACTCAAGTGAAAAGCTCGCTGGGGAAGAAAACCGACAGCCAACTCATTGCAAACAAAGGTGGACCAGGATAAACGAGTTAATCAGCAAGTTTGTGGGAAGCTATGCAGCTGCTTCAGCGCAAAGATCGAGTGGACAAAATGACAATGATGTCATGAAGTTGGCAAATAAGATATACATCAATGATCACAAGTCAAAGTTTACTCTTGAACATTGTTGGCGAGAGTTGAGACATGATCCCAAGTGGTGTGGGAAAGAAGGATCAAAAAAAAGAAGAGTCGACGAGTCCTCAAGCTCAGCTCAGGGAGTAGATGAACCAATGCCACGTCCAATGGGTGTTAAAGCAGCCAAGGCGAAGAGAAATACCACTGCGACTGGATCTGGGAAGTCTCTCTCACAGCATGAGAGTTATGAGAGGCAATGGGAGATTAGGATGAAGGATTTTGAACTGAAGGATAAGATAAGCAGGCAAAAGGTTTTGGAGAATCTTCTTGCTAACGCTGAGCCCCTAACTGAGAACGAGAAAGCTTTAAAGGATGTGATCATTTCGGAAATGTTGTCTAAAGTTTAAGATGTTTTATGTTTAAGATGTTTTATGTTTAAGATGTTTTATTTGTGTTCTAAAGTTTGTATGATTTCGGTTGAGCCTTTGTATGCTTTTTTTCCCTTAGGACATGTATTGTTGATACATGATCTTTGTATGATTTCGGTTATTGTATCTTTGTATGATTTCGGTTAAGCATCTAACGTATCTTTGTTTGATTTCGGTTATACTATCTTTTCATGTTTATGCATATGGTTAATTGGTATACACTTAGCTGGATTTGGGTCTTCTTATACTGCTGTTTGGGTTTGATGCAGGGCTTAAAGGATGCATGGCACAATCGTTATGAGCAGATGGTTTTGTATGAGTAGATGGGTATTTTGATCACACACCATTTTTAGCATCCAAAAACGGCCTTTTTGTATGAGTAGATGGGTTTAGTTTTTGAGAGAAGTAGATATTTTTGTGTCTTTGTATTTGTATGGCCGACACCACAAAAAGATTTTTATGGATTTTTATGTACTCACCACACATGTTGGAGATGGCTTTTTATGAATTCACCACACATAGTTTTTTTGGTTTTTTATGTACACACCACACATTTCTAAAACTTTTATGTAAAACCACACATTGTTTATATGGTTATGGTGTAAACACGTTCAAACCAAACTCATTCTTTCTCTATATATATGAATACTTATATTTAAATCAATTTCATCTCATCAACAATCTTCTATCACAAACGATCTTCTTCCCTTCTCTACCCCAATCTTTTTTCTCAAACTTTTCTTTCTTACAACAAAAGAAAAAAAAATGGCATCTTCTTCCAATAATAATATCGAAGAAATAATGGATGCACAATTTGAGGAAGCCTCTAATCAATTTTTTGATCAAACATTTGAAAATATTCTCCAGGGTCAAGGTCATCAGCCGACAGCACCCAAGAAAAAAAGAGCATACATTGATAGAGCTCGTGAAGAAGGCCATATTCGTTTATGGAACGATTACTTCCGTGAAGATGCAATCTACCCTGATCATATATTCCGACGTTGTTTTAGAATGAACAAATCCTTGTTCATGTATATTATTGATCGTCTCTCCAATGAAGTTCCTTTTTTTAAACAAAAAAGAGATGCCACCGGAAGACTTGGTCTATCTGCACTCCAGAAGTCTACAGCAGCAATTCGTATGATGGCATACGGCTGTGCAGCTGATGCAGTTGACGAATACCTCCGGCTAGGTGAGAGTACTGCAATCTCATGTTTGGAAAATTTTGTGGAATGAATAATATATTTATTCGGAGATGAATACCTAAGAAGACCAACACCAGATGATCTTCAACGACTGCTTAATATGGGAGAGGATCGTGGATTTCCCGGGATGATAGGAAGCATCGATTGCATGCACTGGGAGTGGAAAAATTGTCCGACCGCTTGGAAAGGACAATACACACGGGGTTCTGGAAAACCAACAATCGTTTTAGAGGCTGTAGCTTCATATGATCTATGGATATGGCACGCGTTTTTTGGCCCTCCAGGTACTCTAAATGATATCAATGTTCTAGAACGTTCACCAGTTTTTGATGATGTCTTACAAGGTAAAGCTCCTAAAGTGAAGTACTTTGTTAACGGACATCAGTATAACTTGGCGTATTATCTCACCGATGGAATTTACCCTAAATGGGCTACATTTGTCCAATCTATTCCACTTCCACAAGGTGAAAAAGCTACATTATTTGCTAAAACACAAGAATCTGTCCGTAAAGATGTTGAACGTGCTTTTGGAGTTTTGCAAGCTCGTTTTGCTATTGTCAAAAATCCAGCTCTGATTTGGGATAAGGTAAAAATAGGAAAAATTATGCGAGCATGTATAATACTTCACAACATGATAGTTGAAGACGAACGAGATGGATACACACAATATCATGTTGAAGAATTCACACAAGTAGAGGCAAACAGAACTTCTCAAGTGGATTTGGCGTATGAGACTGATTGGGCTTCAAATATGACAAATTTGATGGGCATAAGAAATAACGTTCGTGATCAAAATACGCATTACCGATTGACAAATGATTTAGTTGAACATATATGGAACAAATTTGGTTGAAATTATAATTTTAACTAAAATTTTTCCGATTTATGTATTGTTTTTGTGGGATTTTTTTTCTTTTTTATGTTAAACATTGTAATTCTATTTTTATTAATGTATTTCTGTAATGTATGTTTGTAATTTATGTATGTAATGTATGTTTGTAATTTAAATCAATGAAATAATTTTTAATTATAACATTTTAGCATTTTAGATTATTATAATTTTTTTTTTAACAACCCCTAAATGAAGAACCTCTCATTAGAAACTTAAAAATATAAAACCTCTTCCATATATATATAGATATATATATCTCAAACAAATAATTAAAAAACAATCAAGAGTTTCAATGGGTCTCAAGGAGATGCTCTAAGCCACACTTAGTCGGTACAACAAACTAACAACCTCACACTTGACCTCCCACGTGCTTCTTCATGACTTCATTAACCCTCGATCCAGCTCAATTCGAAACTTCCTATAAGCTCCATCTGTTCACTTTAACCGAGGATCATACCAAAATCGACACAACTAGATTTTTGTATTCAACAATTATTATTATTTTACTAGATGTACTATTTATTATTTTTCTTGTTCTACCGTATTATTATAAGTTTGCTATTTATATGACAAATCAGTCATTAAAAGCTTATTAATTAGTTATTGATTTTTTAATGTAAAACGTTCTTAGTTCGTGACATTGTATTTATATATTGTTGAAATCACCAATGAAATCTTATACTCCATTCATATCATTCAATTTCAAAATGTGACATGTCGATTGCACTAGACATATATATATATATATATATATATATATATATATATAATTCTGTTTGGTATTTGTGATAAAGACATACACAAATGCTTTGGCCTAAAAGTATATCAAATCAGGATCCAAAGGTGGGGACTACATTGATTACTTAAAAATCAGATCGAGTTAGCTAGTGCCATACTTAAGTATTTACAAAGATACTCTTTTATTAGTTTCTTCTAAGGTTCTTTTCTGATTTAATAATAAAAATTTGGATGACCAAAAAATTGACACAATACTAAGTACATCACTGAGGCACTAATGTTAGCTGTAGTATTTTGTTGACTTTTGATTTTAAAATGGGAGTATTTCGTTGACTTTAATGTGTAATTTGAAGTTTGAACTTTGATGAATCTCAAGTAATTCACTAAGTAATTATGATCATACTTTGACCTTTAAAAACTTGCGAAACAAGAATCATTTTGCATGCTAATCACTTTCACGTTGCACTGTAAATAACATACCAATAATGGTTGATCATAACATGGATCACCGATATAATATCTTGTCAATGATAAATTGATAATCCATAATGCTATACATATGATTACATTAATTAGTAGCTGGTTCTGATTAATTTAGCAGCATATATTGATATCAAGCTCATCAATCACTCGCTGGCAACATTCACCATTTCACATGACTTTTACGTACGGCTGATCAAACATTACGTAAACCGATATAGAAAATGTAATTTATCCGCAAAATCGGTAAATAATCACTGGTAATAAGTAGTTTAAAAGCCATGAGACAATCATGCATGCAATTAAATATCAACAACAACAACAAAAAAAACATCGAGGGGTTTAAATTCTTTAAATGCACGTGTGGACGCGTAGGGTAATCAAAGTGTGTCGGCCGGTTTAAATTAAACCGGTTAATTTTGGAATTTACTGACCGACACTATCCCGAGATCACCGATGAGAAACTTGGGTGTAATGAGATGGGATCGATCTGGACCGTCCAATAATTGGGGTCCCACGACCGCGAGCTATCCATCGAACGTTCCATGTTTCCGCGAGACAAGAAGGAGTCGTGTCGAGTTCATTAGGCGAGAGAGGTTTCTCTCTGTGCACATGAGCGCACGTGCCAGCTGACAGCCGAAAAGTGGTCCCCACCATGTGAGCTTTGCGACGACGTCGTTTAACAGCGCCACGTGGTGGTCTCCGGCGGCGCCTCACTTGACGTTAACGTAATTAACAGTTTTAAACATACCCGTAAGGTTTTTTTTTTTTTTTTTAATGTGATTAACTTTCGATTTTGATTTTTTTGTTCTGAAAAAGCCGCAATTGTTTCCTTTCTGTTTCAAGATTATATAATATTGCCTCAAATTTTACTTTATCTCACCGGATTTTTTTTCTGTTTATCATAAAGCTTTTTGCAAATCTCCCAAGAAAATAATATACCATCATAGTTCAATCTAAGTTGGAAACAATGACAAACATAATAATGTACAAAGTACAATATGTGTCGGTTTGCCACCTTTCATTAACTTTAGTTAAACCTAGTTTTTTTTTTTTTAATTCTAATTGGTCTCTGCAATTAGATTTCAGTTTTTCGTTTGCCGAAGTAAATTCAAAACAGATGTTGGATAAAGAAAATTCACATCGTTTTGAATCGGGCTATGCTATGTAGTACTCTTCACAGTAAGGAAAATTAGACGATTAGAGTGATGGAACTGGAAATATGAAAGGCCGACATTATCTTCACAGAGCCAATTGTACAATATTATGAATACAAACTAGGCCCATAAACACAAAAGGCCTAAAAGGTATAAAAGAGAGCGTTTTGGTAAAAAAGGAAAGAAAAAAAGTTAACTCCACGGAAACAAAACATTACCAAATCATAGTAAATTCTCAGTGGAAACAAAGAGACAAGTGAGAGTGAAACTAATCTTTCCAACCTTCTTTACTGAGTCGTCTAGAAGCAAGTCCTCTAGAGGAAACGCTCGGTGTAAGTGGTAACACCGGAGTATTTGGCTGTTCTTCGTCTCCATCGCCATTTTCTTCGTCCCAATCATCTCCCCAATTATTGTTCCATCCGTCATCACCCGCTTCTAGATCAGATTTCGACGCCAAATCGGTGTTGTTAGAGACTGGCAATTCCATGTCCAACCTCTGGTATTTGTTGTTTCCTTTTGCCTTGTTCCTGTAGACGTGGATGATCATTGGGATGATGACAAGGGAGACAACGAGGAAGGAGATGATGATGATGATGATGATGAGTGTTCGCGGACGGATATTGAGGATTGAAGGACGAGAAACAACGGCTGTATCCTCGTTTCCTGTTTCATGTGCTGCTGCCAAATCCTTTAGTTCAAGGCTGCAATGGCCTTTAAAGGAGGCTAGTATGATTGCGCTATCGTTGGACCCTCCTTTTTTAATAGAGACTTTCACCTGCAAAAAGGATCTTAAGCCTTTACATGTGAAGTAGCAATATCTTAATCTTAAACTATTAGGTTTGTTTACCCTCCATTGTTCCAAGATTTTGGCTTCAAGATTAGCAAATGCTTGTATAAAAATATTGTATTGACGTGTGCAATATAATCTCCATCTAAAACCTATGCACAGCTATGGTCTAGGTTCTGTGTTGCATCAAAAATTCAAAACATTTAAACTCAATAGAGCTTTTTACACATCGAAAGCACTAGGTTATAAACAGTCAAGTTAACAAACAATGTCTGACCAGCTTTTAGGCTTTAGATATATGTAAGATTGCTCTTTGACTCTTCAACACTTTTCTTCTTCGGAACTAAAGTCACTGAATGAATCATGCAGTGGAATCCATCAAAAGAAAATGACGACCTTAAGATATATATAGATATTACCTTTGTGTCTTCGTTTTCCAGAAGCTCAACTTTGTTCTTCTCTAACCCAACAAAACCCGGAGCAGTTATAGTTACAAGCAGAGCATCTTTGCCAATGTTCTGAATCAAGAGTGAGAGATGAGGCGCATCTGCACAAGAATGTTGAAAGAAGAAAAGCTCAAACCCTGGAAACCAGAAGAAAAAAAAAAACTCTTGAAAGTTGAATGAACAGAGACTCACCATTACCAGGAACTCGGAGACAAGCGACAAAATGATCTTCCTCATCGGTACACATGTAAGATGGATCACATTCTTCACCGTGAAACCCTTGTTTCTTCCTTGAAGAATTGCTCATAGCTTCATCACTTCCTTCCTTCCCTTCACTCTTACTATCCCCTAAATGTGTATCATCGGTCGTGTTTTTAGAGTGATCTCTTCTACTCTTAGAATCAGTAACATTGTTAACAATTTCTGATCCACCAAAACCTGTCTCTGTCAAATTCGAATTCGTGATCGAGCTCGAGGAAACTTGTGCCTCCTCTCCACCAACCTTATTTTGTAAAACAATCGTTGTAAACAAAAACCTCAGATTTACAGCTTTTCGGAAAAAACAAAATTTGGAATATCAAATCTTCTTCTAAGGGATTCGAGAGTTACCTTACTAGTAGTATGAGCGGCGAAAATCAAAGCTATACACAGAATCAAAACGAAGTTCGAATCCATATCTGACAATCAACCAATTTCAAAATTCCATCTGAAACTCAGCCAATCAAGCTCCAGAAATGAAGATGTTTCGATTCTATAAAATCAGATTATCACCTCACAACTCGGATTCTTCGTAATGATTTTCCCCGTCTTCGTTAGCTACTCTGCTCAACAATTCGAGGCCCTGAAAGAATCAGGATTAGGGCTCCAGAGAGAAGTGAGACACCACCAGAGACTCCCTTTTGACTCTTCAGTCGCTGCACAACGTAACTTCGGGGCGTGGAATCAACGCTCTCTTAGGAGCGCGTGAAAATTTTGGAGTTGGTTTCTCTCTTCGAACACACAATCCGCTAATGGTTTTTGGGCCAAGTTAATTGAGGAGAAAAAATACATTATTGGGCTGATTGTGTTTAATGAAAGCCCATTTTCCAGTTTACCAGGACTAACAATCCTTTGTGGGAGATGGGCTTATTTAGTTCAAATTCACATAACCAATTTCTCCAAAAACGGATGCATATTATCATGGCTCTCTTAGTTTGTATCAACCATAAAAAAAACAATTCGCAATTATTTAAGTTCGCCTATTCGGACCTTATTATGCTATTTTCTTTTAAACGGACCGACCGGAGACCTTTAGGCGAATGCTTCACTTGGACATGTAAATAAGACTTTTTCCCCTGATAAAATGTAAATCGAATTTCTTGAATATTTCAATATTGTGAGTATCAATCTCGTACGTAAGTTAAGCGAACTCATTTATCAAAAAGGTAATTTCTATATGATTAGAAAATTGTCTCTTTAACGATATATATATATAAAGAGTTAATGAGGTGAATAACCATGAATTCAAGAATATTATTTATCGTGTTTTGTTATTCATCGACGATGTCGACACAACAATTGATCATCTCCGATCCATGCGAATATGTATATATTCCATAATTTGTTTTCTTTTTTCTTAATTATTGAATAATAATTGAGACGAAAGCGAAACGAATACCAACATGAACCAGCTAGACAACTAATACCTGCATCAGAAGAAAAAAAAACCTTAAGAAAATTAAATAGAAAATAAAAAAGTCTAAGCTCCACTTGGCGTCGGTACTGAACTCGCCACGTTTCTCGTCAACGGAGAAAGTCAACTTACCTTAATGATATTGTAGAGACAGAGTGCATATAGTGTGATAGGTCGAAGGTGTATATAATTAATTAACTACCAAAAGGAGAAAACAGTCTTGTGAGACTATATGAAAAGAAAACAAAAGTCTTACAATTCATAAGTCACGCAGAAGTTTCAATCATCTTTCAGAACAAAAACACACATAATTTTTTTTTTTTTAATTTAAAAGCAAATAACTTAAAATCAATGAATGGAAGAAGGTCAAACCGACCGGGTCCACGTCCAGCTCCATGCTATCTTAATTATTGAAGTTTTGATTATCAATTAGTTTTATTCTGTGAAGACTAAGTCAGCTATGTGAAGTGATATGATCAAATTTTCTTATCAGTGTTTTTCTAGATTTGCTATAACGAATATTCTACGTGCTACTCTCATTTAATAATACTCTTGTCGCCACGATATATTATCGCTTGTTTTTTATTTTTATGTTTGTATCTATGAGTCATGAAAATATCAAATATTAATGCTTGAAATCGGCACATGGTAACACTTAATAGTAGACTATTTATGGGTTTAAAATGCACATCGTTTTAAGAGTACCATCTCTGCATTATTTCATTCTTAATTTGAAAATTTGGGAATGCATCTTAAACCCATAAATAAATTCTCATGAAAACTCATATTCGTAAATGAAAACGCAGATTTCTTTAATATATATGTTTAACCAAAGTTTTTTTTTTTTTGGGGGGGTGGGGGGTAAGATGTTTAACCAAGGTTATAGTTTTTGTATACAAAAACTTGTGCACGTTTCATAGCACAAAAAAAAATAAGAACTCTTGCACGTATCTCACATCTGATCGTCTAAATATTACCGTTTAATCGAATGGTCAAAACAAGAAAAGAATGATTAACATTCGTGATAAATATTTATAGTTGAGGATACCATGCAACATTTATTATAATTTAAAAAAAAAAAACATTTATTATAATTTTTTCGATGGAAATTTTCTTTGCGGTACACACGCAAATATATATACACATATATTCTTACTTATATAATAATACTTTAATTGGAAACTAAAAAAAAGTCTATAAAATGGTGGTCCACAATAGCCGTCAGAAAAACGAGATTCGTCACAATGTCTACGATCCGTTGAATAATGTCCCATCTACATCTTACTCTTTAACCCATCAAATACAATAGGAACTATGTAAGTCTTTATATGCATACCGCATACGTGTCCTAAAAATAAACTTATTATAAAGTATGTATGGTTTTGGTCGGTAAACTAATTGAATAGAATACTTTGGAGAGTATCTAATTCTAAATTTAATACTCAATTCACTATAAGCTGCAAAAGATATATGTCTAAACCTGCCATCGATATTCGTATGAGGTCCACAACGATTCACGTAGGTCTGTGATTGCATTTGTATATTTAATCAAGTTTCGAAGGACAATGATGTTTATGTTGTTATATATTTATAGAACCATGTCTATGCGTGTAGTACTTATCCACTCGAATTAGGACAAGTACAGGCAAATAACCACTCTATTTTTGTAGAGTCACCTTTCAACACATAATACATTCATAATTCACCTTTTCAGTCTTCTAAGGTTTTCTTCTGTTTTCTTTTTCACGCAAATCCGTACGATTCCAAACGAACCTTTTATATTTATTTTGTATTTTAAACACCGTCTAATTGATTATGGATGTTATCAATTATAATAATCGGTATCGAGATTCCTTTTGATTCGAATAAATCTCCATTGCGTCTGTATAAGTAATAACCGTGTTGAGTATTCGAACTTCTGAAGTCCTAAGTACTAAAAGAAACTAATTTATATGTTATGTACGGTCTCAAAGTTTTTAGTGTGTAAAAAAAAAAAAAACTTAATTAGCCGATCGATGTCAAAATAGGAACACGGTTGCTTGTTTTGACAAAAAAATATAGGAACACAGTTGACATGTTGAGCTGAAATATTTTGTAGATATTTATGATATTCTCAACGTTACTGAACGAACCACGTGAATGAAACAAAAAGGTTAGAGAATTAGGTCTAATTTAAAGCCATACCAACATGTACACCAAATATCAGATGTAGAAGAGAAGAAGAATGGCATCAGTGTGACGTCATTTCCCGTCCAAATTACGTAATTCACTGAAACAAACGTCGTCGCCGTAATTTATCGTGGCGAGATGATCTCCCGATTTATTGATCTGGAGAAAACGATCCGTTTTGTTTTTGTTGGGACCTCACAAGGAGACAAAGTTCGGTGACGTGTCGACTTCAGGAGCAGTGGAGGACCACTATTCTGTCGGCGTCGCCTTTACAAGACATACGCTAATAACGACAAAACACTACTTTTTCGGTGTGTGAAAGTCGATTTTACCCTTGACTTTTTATTATTTTTTACTGGTTTTTGACATCGTTCTTAACTTCTTTCAAACTAAAACGTCGACGACACATTTACTTTCACACGGTGTCTGTCACTCGATTCGGATAAGATTCTCAAATATAGAATTTACCATATTGCCACTATCTCCGTTATTTGTGAGCCACAAGCTGTAATGCTCTTCGGCTTCTACTGTTCATACGATAGCACCTAATAAGGTTGACGTTTACGTGCAAGAAACAAATATGTGTATTTATGTATTATATATAATATATACATCTTTGCTTAAAAACACACAACTGTAAAAAACATCTCAATTGGCTTTTTTACATATTAGCAGTCTATCAAACTTTTATATCACGATCGAGTATTAACAAACAGAAAATGACATTGTTAAACATGTTTTGATTCTTGGTCCAAAGAGATTATGAAAGTCTATAATTTGGTTGTTACCAACACAAAAGAACTTTATATTATATAACTTTAAAGGTGCTTTTGATGAAATCTTATATGATTAATGCATTTATTTATTTTTTATATATGGATTGTTAATATGTTAAACTATACAACGGAGCATATATATATATATGTATATATATAATTTGTTAACTAAAGCATTTAAATAAAGTGTAAAATTTCAGTATATAAGAGAGGCCTTGTCTTTAAATGGCCTCAAGTACTCCACATGGTTTCTACCAGATATATCCTTACAATAATTAATTAGTAACTTTTTTTTTGGCCATTTGAAAATTGAAAGTTATTGTGAATCTTTTATTGCACTCCTGGGGGCTGGGGCGACTACTTTTGGTCAGTTAAACTGAAACACCATACCCATAGCCAAGTTGAATAAAGTTTTTTACCAAAAAAAAAGTTGAATAAAGTTATTTTCTATTTAACTTTTGTATACTGGAAGTAAAATTGCTTTAAGTGCTTTCAATGTGAGATTTTAAGAGAACGTTCGGATTCGGCATATCCAATTGGTACTAGTACTTTAGCTAGTTACACCTTAAAAAAAAAAGATAGCCTGTTAATTAATATTGGTTAATCATTTAGGAATCATGTTAACTAGTTTTCATCAGCTTTCTACAATAATTGATGTAGTTGCACCTCATAGGCTCGTAGTTAGGTACTTATGCATAGCTCACTTATTCTTTCTTTCTATTTTTCCTTTAGGAACAAAATTACAAAACAAACAAAATCACCGAAAGCTTCCATGTGATTGGCTTTATGATAACTTTTTGGATTTATTATGAATGGACCGGCCCCGAGATATGTTCTTAAAAGTAACTTATTGATTGTACGTGTCATTGATCACACACCTATATAATACATATATACGTACACAACAAATGCAGAATTGAGACTTAAATTAGAACGTACCCATTTTGGCTAACACTGCACGCACTTATAAAAGACCCACTTATGAACGTATGGTTGCGACCCATACATAACTCGTGACGTCCAAATTATATCTTTTAGTGAAATAAATATTTTAAATCTTGAGTCTAGAAGACTTTAATTCGGATATCTTAGTGCAAATCGGGTTTGCCCATTTTGAAAAGTTATCAATTGATTTTGGCAAAAAGTATCACATATAGGTTCAACATAGGGTCAGTTTTCACATACGTAAAAGCTCCAATGTAAATTCTTAATCTACTCGCATGATCTATAAATAATTGTAAAACCGATATCAAACCAATGTGTTTTTCCTTTGAATGATCGAAATATTTTGAATCTCTAGGATTTTTTTTCATAAGTTATACTTATATAACACGTCATCTGTTTCAAAATAATTGGTGTTTGAGGAAAATAATTTATCTTCAACTATAATATTTTAGCTCAATAAATTAAGTTTATCACTGGTTGAACTGTGTTTACATGTAATATAAGATGTTTTATTTAGAAATAAGTCAAATTAAATGTTATTTGTATGTAACAACTTTAAACATTAATTGTGAACAGAAAGAATAATTTTTTAATAATGATATATATATATAGTATATGTATACCATAGATTAATTTGAGTTTTGTTTTTGACTGACTAAATCAATGACCTTTGTTTGTGAAGATATGAACCAAAATTATCAAGAGCGATAACGAAAAGAGCTAAATATAAGTAATATGATCTATGTGAGCTTCCGTTAATCAACATTTTTTTTGGGGGATCAGAGCCGTTACGTTACTTATTTTGTGCGAATTGAGATAGTATATTCTTTGAAAACATGTATCATTAATTTGTCATTAAAAAATAGACGAAGCGATTTATGCATATCTGAAAAGTTTTATGCATCAATTTTAAATCGTGGTTCGGGGAGGAGATGAGAAGATGGGAAGAGATTGAAATGAAATTGTCGGGTGCGAGAAAATGAAGGCGTGGCAGAGAATTTATGATACCAATACGAACCTTTTTTGAACAGAAGTCTTGACTCTTCTCTTTCCTCATAAATTTAAAAAGTTTTTTGTGGGACCAAACGGACTCGTCTTTATGTTCAGTCACCAATAAAAAAATAAAAACAGCGGATTGGAAAAATCTGGAATTGACTCGGTTGGAAAACTTGCAATTAATATGTTGATAATTTATGCTGTTTCTGCATCAAATGATCGATGTCATTTATATAATGGTGGTCAAATATTGTCGACATAACAATTTCGACGATACTAGCTACTAGCAAAGTTTTTTTAACAATTTATCACAAAACCAAAAACGATGTTGTTTCAGATGTAAGAAGCTGAAAATTTTACATACAACCATGACTAATACATGACTATAGTTTGTAGCAAACAAATTGTGTTTATTCGTTTTACAAATATGATAGTATGTTATCATTTTGCATCTATCACAGATCGCATCGTTTTAAACGAGATCTGTTCTAACTAATCCTACGGAATTGCATTAGTAAGAACGCTTAAACTTTCTTTGTCATTTGTACCCGAAATATAAGTTATTACAATTTCACTCTTACTTGAAAAATGGTCTAAATGTTTAATCCACAAGTGTGAATGTATTCCATAAAAGAGGTGTGAATGTAAAACGTTCACCTTCAGTATAAAATGCAAATTGAGATTAAATTTGCAAAGGGCTAATCAAAGGTACCACCATATCACTAATAGGAATTTATCTATTTTAATGTTACTGTTACACATCGAATGTTAAGGAACCATATTACTTCTATTGTGTTACAGCTTTTGAATTAATATATACTAGTATTATAGAAAACAGTGACAAAAGAGTATAGATTCTTGCTAGTCCAACATGGCAACATCTGTCTACACCTACCTAAAATTTAAGAAATACAATTTTCCAAAATTGGTCTATTTTTTTCCAACACTAAACCCGAATCCAAAACTTTCACAAGTCTAATTGATCAAAATTTTGTTCCAAAGCCAAGCTTGAATAAAATTGAAGAATAATGTAAGTTTGAGAATGGAGCTTTAAACTTAAACATATTCTAGTGTGCTGTGGACTAAAAATCATGAGTTTAGTGCTTATATTAACCACACCTTCATATATATATATATATCATGAGCCTAATGCATATACTTGTCAAGAACTGATTATTAAATAAAAATGTGGTTGGAAATATAGTGTATGTATTATCTTAAACTAGAAACATTCTATAAAAATCATGATGAAAATAGTTTGGCAAACTTTAAAAAACAAAAAACAAAAGAAAAAGAAATCAACTAAAAAAGTCAAAGAGCTCCATGTGAAATCTGTAAAGCAACGTTTCTGGTTCTTTTTTCTTCTCTCTACTGAAGTCTATAAATATGTACAAGCTGTTTCTAAACTTTAAAAACCCAAACCCATTAAATAGATCTTAAGGAAAAAAAAAAAAATCAATCTCTCAATATTTCAAATCTTATTCTTTTCATCTCTTTTGAACCTGCAAATTCACCATCACCATCTTGTCTTTCAAGCTTCACCATTATCATCTTCTTTGATCTCTTCTCTTTGCTCAAGCCAAACATAATTGTTTGGGTTTCCTTTTTCTTATTTTCCAAGAATCCGGGACTGTTTTTACAGTTTGAGAAATGGAAGAAAGCAATGATCTTTTTCAGACGAATTTCAGTCCCAAAATCTCAGAAATTAGAGCTTCTCTGTCTCAGATCATATTAGCAGGAGGACCAAACACACTCGACTCAATCTTCTCATTTCTCACTCCCTCCTCCACAACATCCCTAGACACTCTCAATCCTCCGCCTCCGCCGTCACCGCAGCTCGGCTCCTCCGTCTATCTCCGGCAACGAGATCTTATCGAGAGACTCCACCTTCAAAACAGAGCAGTCTCCACTCCTCCTCTGTTTTCCTCATCGTTCGACCATCAAACTTCCGAGCTGATGCTCCAAGAGGCGTCCGCGAATCCTGCCGCCGCTTTCGCCGCCGCGTTAGCGGCTGGGAGAACGGCGAAAAAGAAGAAGCTTTACAGAGGAGTGAGGCAGAGACATTGGGGAAAATGGGTTGCGGAGATAAGATTGCCGCAAAACAGAATGAGGGTTTGGTTAGGTACTTACGACACGGCGGAAGCCGCCGCTTACGCTTACGATCGCGCCGCCTATAAGCTTCGTGGAGAATACGCTCGTCTCAATTTCCCGAATCTCAAGGACCCGAGTGAGCTACTCGGACTCGGAGACTCCTCTAAGCTAATTGCTCTCAAAAGCGCAGTCGACGGGAAGATCCAGATGATTTGCCAGAGAGTCAGAAGAGAGAGAGCGAAAAAGAGCGGAAAAAGAACGGCGACGGCGACGGATTCTTCGCATTCATCGTCGCCGGAGATTCTGTCTTCTCCGGCGGCAACGGTGACTGCGACTGCGGTTAATTCAGAGGATAGTTACTGGAATTCGCCGATGGGGGTGTGGAACAGCGAGAATAGTTCTCCGGCGTCGGTTTCGATTTCCGATGAAGTCCCGGCGATGACGACGGAGGAAGACACGATGATGGGAGTGGATACTGATGGGTTTTTGCTTGCGAGGATGCCATCGTTCGATCCAGAGCTTATTTGGGAAGTTCTCGCCAATTGAATTACACAAGAAACTAAACTGTGAATTTTTGATCAAGAAACACAAAAAGAAAAAAAAAAACAAAACTTTGGAATTAGGAAATATGATGAGAAAATTAGGGTTTTAGGTGTGAATCAGAGGGTTTAAAGTAAAACCGGATCCTTTTGTTAAAATCGTTTGAAAGTTGATAAATAATTACGTTAGGGGATTTACCGTAATTAAGAGATTAAGCCTCGTGGTTTTTAAAAGAGGTGAAATGTAGTTGTATAATGTTTGGAAGAAAGCAATTAAATTAAGATTGGTGGGGAAGGTAGAGAGAAGCACATGTCACAGTCTCGACTCTCGACCATATGCCCAATGCTTTTAAAGTGGTCCCTTTTATTCTCCCATTCCATGTGATAAGTCATATACTATTTTTTTCCTCTCATTAACATATACAATTTTATATAGTGGACCAAATATTTTCTGATCAAACCATCCTAACTAAATTGGAATTTTATATACAATTCTACTTTTGGTCATAAAATTCTACATTTCTCTTCATATTCAATCCCTCAATATTTCTACTGCAGTTAGTTGTATTTCATTGGTAATTGTAGTTTGCTGGTGCCTGGTACATATGACCAGGCCGAACCGTAACTTGAAATTCAAATCAATTTTGATCAAATCGATTCAACTATTTTTTCAAGTGAAATTTACATTTTTCTTTGAAAAAAATATAAAAATATTTTTCTTTGAGTAAAATATAAAAATTATATTTGATTTTGACAGAATTACATGGATAAACAATAAACAAAAAACCAAAAATAACTAAAACAAACTATAATAAACAGAAATAACATACAAAATTAGAAAAAATAACCTATCAAAACAACCTGAAAATGAATCAACAAAGTATGAAAAGCAAAATTGCAGAAAGAAGAAGTTTTGAAGTCTAAAACTCCGCTTATGTTGCCACAAGAATATGTGTTCTACGTCCATCCTCAAAACCTAAAAAACACAATGCCTACAGCTTTGACACGAACAAAGCAAATCCTCTTTGAAGCTAACGAGCAAGCTGTAGTCAGAGACCACTAACGGGTAGAAATTAGTGTGTCCCACACTCAGAGAACTAAACTCGGCAAATACTAGGAAAAAGAGGATAGGAAAATCTCGTTATATTAAAATAAAGCTTGGTAAATACAAGAAATATTAGGTAGTTGGAGCGATAGGCTAATCGGAAAAGAGAACTAAGAAACTAATGTCTTAAGTGCAGAGCAATTAATCTCTTAAGTCTATTTGGTGAATAATGGATGACTCTTTTCAATGGATCGACAGCTTCTCTATTTATATGTTTGTAGTCGTTTTAAATTGTTGGAGAATTGCGGAACAAAATTCTCTTTAGCAATATAAGTCGTTACCGTTTCCACTCTACACGTTGGCTTTTCCTTTTTTTCTTCCGCCATAGCAAATCCCTGAACGGCTCTACAAATCTTTATGCTTCACAAATGTCAACGACAAGTGTTTACTCTCGCTTAAGTAAGAAGTTTACGTTTATATGGGCCTAGTTCAGGCCTGAACTAAATTCAAGACTCAATCGTTAGTTCTTAAAGAAACACGAAAAAGGTCAGTTATTGCCCTAAACCTATAAATTACCTTTTTCCTCTTCGACAGAAAAAAAAAAAACATTCTAATACGTACTCCTCTTTTAAGGGTTGGTTATTGCCTCTTGAAATCCTAGCAAGTCGTTCTTCTCAACTTCTCCATGGACGAATCCGCCATCAAAGTAAGTAACTCTTCTTCTCCTCCTCCTACTCCTTATGTCTTTCTGCTTTGTTGTTCTTCTTACTCACTTTTTAACCTCTGGTTTCTCCACAATTATATATGTAACAAAGTTAATTGAAGTAGTAGAATTTATTCTGACTAATAAAAATCTTTGTGTAACTTAGGGGCAGGAATTGCTGGAATCGAACGGTAGTGATGCAGACATTCCAAAAAGCCGGTAAATTGAATTTTTTTTATTATTATTTTTTTATATATATAGATTTGTTGTGTCTCTAAGATGGATGGATGTGTTGTTGTGATCATGTTAAAAATATTTATCACCTGCAAATCAAAATCTGATTGCAGTAGCATTAGGAGGCTTGTCGTTGAGGGTTACGACACAGGGCATGATTACTATGATCTGGATACGGATTTGAGAGAATGTTTCTCTTCATGTGGAGAGGTGGTACATGTTTATATTCCCAGATAATGTAAATCCGGTCCTTTGGCCCAACTAGGCAGATTTGCTTTTATTTACCTTCGGGGAGAAGGTGCAGAAGAGAAGGCGTTGGAACTTAGTGGAAATGACGTGGGAGGAAGAGGAGGACGGAAGCTAGTCGTTAAGGCTTACCCGTTTGAGGAAACATACCTTGATCTTGAGTTGTCAATCATCAGAGGCAGTGACCAGTGGGAACGTCGCCAGTAAATTGTTTCTTCCTTTTTTTTGTTGTTGGAGATTTGTATTATGTGTTCTTGTCTACGTTGCATGTTGATCTACGTACGTACTGACTACCTTAATATTATTAGGTTGGGAGTCACGGGATTTGACACTTGGATTCCTCAGGATGTTGTCAGTAGAAGGCTGCGTGAATATTTCTCTGCAGTTAGCGCTAATGTGTTTGAGGATGTGTTTGAGGATGTTGTCAATAATTGCACGGTGTGTGAACATTTCTCTGCATTTCGCACTGTACGTAACTTTGTTAATCCCGAAGACCTATTCTTCAGCACTCTTGGTCGACACGGCAGGTTTTGTGGCTTCTTCCTCCCATTTTGCTACTTTTTGTTTTTGTTTCTCTCTCTCTCTCTCTCTCTCTCTCTCTCTCTCTTTCAAGTTATCAAATGCTATTAAGACGGGATTTGGCACTGCGATTCCTGAGGATGTTGAACATTTCTCTGCACTTCAAACTCTATGTAACGTGGATCCCCACGGCCAATTCCGCAGCAGTGTTTGCCTTAATAAAGAAAGCTCTCGTTTTTCTTAGGGGAGAAGGCGCTGAAACTTAGTGGACGCGATGTGGGAGGATGGAATATTGAAGTTACCGGGGTCTCGGCGCCACTTAGAATACCAGAGTTGGTACCCTACACGTCCTTCTCTACTTACCCACATGGAACATAGTTTTGATTCTTGATTTTGCTGTTTTTTTTTTTTTTTTTTTTTTTTTTTTTTTTTTTATAATTTGTCTGTTGACCAGAGATTGTTTAAATTTTCTCAACATATGTAGACAAATATGACTAAGAAATGGTACCATTGATTCAAATACTTCTCCGAGTGAAATTTATGTTTATCCTTAGTAAAAATATATTTATAACAATGGATAACTTATTATAAGCTGGGTATTGATATGTGTTATAGGCATTGATATCTGTAAATAAAAGTATAAAAAAGTAGATTATAGTAGCTAGTGAAGACAAGACACACAACCATCTAAGTGGTTTTTATTTAAACAACACGTCTTATTAATTACTTAACATATATAGTCTCCCTTAGAAGCATCAGATTGTGAAAGCATTTGATTTAGTCGCTGTCGCTATCGCTGCTGCTTCCACTCTCATTGCCGCTGCCATGCCCATCCTTGCTCTTCTTCTTCTTCTTGTGCTCATTTTGCTTCTTATGCTTCTTCTCTCCATTGTTAATGAACATTCCTAGACCATTAGTAACTTTGTTTGTCTCATGAGTTTTCTTCTGGTGATGTCCTAAGAGCTTTCCATGTCCATGGTCCTTGTTAGGCTCTTGGCTATTGTGTTGCCCTAGAAACGCCCCTAGACCAGTCTGACCCTTCTGGCCATTTTTACCCTTGAACAGCCCATCAAGAAACCCACCGTGGCTACGGTGGTTCATAGTCGGGCTATTTCCATATACTGGGCGGCTCTGGATCAGACCATGACCCTGGTGGTTCTGGCCATGTCCCTGGTGGCTCTGGTCATAGCCTGGACGGCTCTGGACTTGAGTCACATCGTAGTATTCTTTTTCACGTGTTTCGTAGTACTGCATGGTGGTATATAGAAGCGGTGAGTTTTATGGTTTGTATTTGAGTTGTGTGTGGGTATGAGCTTTAGATCGATGTCTATATATATATACTGTGATAATTTCTTGAGATTTACTGAAGTCGAAGAGAATCCATATGTTAGTGTCTGTCTTTATCTTGAACTTATTCTTACTTTAAAGCTTATCTAAATTTTGTTCCAAAAAACAAAAAAGTTTATCTAAATTTGAATCGATTCGAATGGCATCTTCTTTTTACCTACCAAAAATGTCAATTTCAGAATTGGTTCTCAATTAGAGTTGTCCAAGATTCATATTCTTTTATTCCTACTGATCTCATTGTGATCTGCTACGTGCAGAAATGTGAAAATTGTCCTAAGTTTTTTTTTTTTTAATTGTAGAGGATTAATTATGCTATTTTTTTTATAAATAGCTTCAGCCTATTCTTTGTTCTTGATTTTAACTTTCTTAACTTCAGAATTGTTTGGAGTAATAGAAGTACTCTAAAAATTAAAAATGTTAGGACTTTCAAATTGTTTGATTAATTTACTGTCTACCAACTGATGTTATAATAAAGAACTTATTTGAATTCAGCTGTAAAAATATGACGCATAAATTTAAAGTTATGATCAATAGTATACTGAATTATCTATTTCTTACTCGACTAAAAGGAGAGGAACGGGAATGCGCTGAGATCGAGGACTATAACATCCCAGCTCTTCTGACTATGCTTTCCGTGGTCGCTAGGCGGTGGTTTAGTAATAAATTTAAAGTTATGATCAATAGTATACTGAATTATCTTGATGAAAATAATACATGTTAGTAAATGAAACTTTAGATGTAGATGGAGAGGATTTAAAAGTTTTTGAAAGCAATAAGTATAACTACAGTAGATTGGAGGTCTAACAAGATTTAAACTTTAAGTAAAAACCATACTGAAATGATATTTGATTACATTATCTTAGTTATATATATGCATATATAGGTTTATATAGTTGGATTAATTTATAATATTATTTGAACCATATATGTTATGTACAAGAATATCTTACTAAATTGTTAACTTTTAAACTGATTTGACTTGAACTGGTAATTTTTTTTTAACCTGTAAAGGTTTTACTGTAGGTAGACACATTTGTAAAATTAGCATTCCATAGTTGCTTTGCAAAGAAACCGCATGACATTGATACCGATGAGTTATCATCATTGATATTTACATGAGGCATCCATCCTTGTATCCTTATTTATTACATTCAGACATAATACATAATTTATATGGGTCTTAAACTAAGGGGCATGTCTTCATATCTCCATAGCCACCCTATCTCTGAAAACAAAAAACAAAAACATTACATGTACACATTCATGCTTATGCGAGGGATCTTGATCTTAGTTTTGGAATTCGAACCTCTATATATATATATATATATATATATATATATACAGTATGCTTAGGAACTCGGGTAATTTCCGCGGCTGTAGCGATTGCCACGGCCGGTTTGCAAGGCCTTTGAGTTGGGCCCACGTTGGCGCCGGATGTCAAACCCGAACGATTCATCCGAGACGCTCATGCGGTTAAGAGGGTAACCTGACCTCATCATGGTGGTTCCTTCATTGTCCGATTCAGAGTCCGACGTCTCGTGGGTCTTTCGACTTCTCCATCTTCTCGGAAGACTGTTCTCACTTGCAAATAATTTTTTTTTTGTTAATCTTGTTTCTCTGCCTTGGTGAATTCGGGTGCCACGGTTTCCATATTTATAGATGAACTTGTATATAATATGAATTCGTATACCTTGTATGTATGCACATTGTTATTGGATTCCTCAAGCTCTGAATTAGATTCATTTTCGAGTGGACAGTATTTATGACCTTCACGGTTAATGAAATAGAAAAATCGTATATATAGTTTCTTAACTTTCTTAAATGTTAAATAGCTAAAATATAAATTTTAATGAATAACATACATTAACTAATAGTTTATATACGTATCATTCACCCTTATGTGTTTCTGACTCTAAATAATTAAGTTTCTATCGGTGTAGAACACTATACACATTAGATGGTAGGATGTAGCCAAAGTCGCAATGATGCGGTTTTCACGATAGAAATATTAATCCTCTTCACGAGAGTCTTTTGAGTCCTCTAGCTCTCTATATATATTGTAAATGGTTTATGTTTTTGGATCCTTCATTTTTTTTATCCAATCAAAGCTTTGAACAAAATTCATAATAACATTCTAAATCGGATAATATAACATTCACGTAATATTATTTACTTTCGCATAATAAAAAAATCACAACTTAGCGCATCTAACTAGCGTTGGCCTCACGCATCTATAACAACATATGGACTATAGATTATAAGCTCGACACTGTTTAATTTGACTATATAATTTATAAGCTAATTCACAAAAAAAGTAAAATTCGGAGAAATAAATAATAATACAACTTTCAAGTATTGGACTAGACTGAAGATTTTTCTTGTTCTTGAGTTGTTGTTGGAGTTTCTGCATCTTTATCTGTAGACCTCCTCAGAGCTTGTCTGAGACCCAACACGATGAACAAATTGGTAAGAGCGAGAAGTGATTCAGCTCCTCCATGTAACCAATCAACATTCGACAACGATGTTCCATAATGCACCTTAGCTTCATTCATCCACCACCAAACCAACAAAAAACCAGAAATTCATCAATCTTCAAGATCGATTCACCATTAAAATTGTCATCGAAAAATTTATACAAACATTGAAGAAATTTACCATAGATCCCAGCAGGAACTGCGTCGTTTACAGCCCAAATTCAATTGATCAAATCACCAAAGCCAGAACAAAAAGAGAGAGAAAAGATTAACAATTCAAGATCGCCAAGAAACGCCAAACGCTATTAGCAGAACAAGCCGCAAACGCTAGAAACATACTAGACTTACTTGTAGCACCAACGAAGGCAAGCAAGAAGTAGAATCCGAAAAGTGTGAGTTTTGGAGCAGATTTGGATTTAGTGAGGAAGTAGAGGAAACCAATGTATGGAAACAGAGATACAGCGAAGAGCTGTGATGCTATGCTCTGTGAATCAATGGTTGGAGCCCACGGGTCCACCGGAAACATCCCGCCTGCGTCACACACGATCGATACCCTCCCATCTTCTCTTCTTCCTTTTTCTTTCGTCTCTGTCAAGTGTAAGAAGAAGTTCTTGTTTCTAGAGATTGAGAGACTAGGCTGCGAAAGTCGCCGAGTGTTGTACGGAGACGAACCCAGAAATCTAACGGCTGAGATTATCGCCGGAGAGTGAGAGTGCATCAGAATCATCTCTCTCTCTCTCTCTTTCTCTCACGGTGAGAGAAGGAAAATGTTGTGGATGAAAGAGGAAGTGAAAGGAAAAGAAGATAGAGATAAAAACTTTGTCCCGTTTTGCGTTGTTACTTGTACATGTTGTGTCGTTTCTACATTCCTCCAAATTAACAAAATTTTGTCTGATCAGACATTAGGATTTCTTTCCTAAAACTCCTTTATCTCTTCATTAGAGCATTTTTGGTATGAGAGTTAGTGTTTGAAGCTTATTGTACAGGTTGCTGCAAATTTGAGTCTTTTAAGAGTTTCTCAAACTCTTCGATCATGAATCATGATTGACTCATTATCTAGAGGTTAAAACTCATAGATCACACTCTATTCACGTTAATCAACTTATAAAGATCGCATGCTTTTCATTTAGAGTGCCTTGCGGAGATTCATGATGTGTGTAGATGAATTACTGAAGCTATTAGGGTATAATCTCTGTGTTAAGAGTCTTGTGCTAGGATTATTTTAAAAATTCAAAACCGGTTTAATTTGATTAAACCAATTTTATTAGCTTATCTAAAGTTACATTCCTTAACCGGTTTTGTTTATAAAATTTATTTCTGTTTATTTTTCTTATTTGGGTCAATTTCATGTTAATACCGTTTAGGTTCGGTTTAGATTGATTGATAACTTGAAGACCGGTTTAATTTTGGTTTAGAACTTTTGACTTTTGTCAAAGATAGCTTATTCGTTTATCGTAGACTAAATGCACCAAACCGAAATCAAATCAATCAAGATTAGCTACAGAGAAATACCAAATAAGTATTTGTGATAAGATTGACGCTTTGGATCACCGATTGAAAGCTTAGACCTTTAGCTCATCATTATACGATATAAAACATCGATTAAACTCTGGAACAATGGCAGACCCAAAAACAATTTTGACCAAATCATAAAGACGATTGGTGAAACAAAGACAATTCAGATATTTTTAAAAGAATAGAAGTAAGAGAAAAAAATTATATAATAACATTGCAAACTTATAATTTCAACTAGTAAAGGAGTTTGGAGAAGAGGATCTTCAAGACATGTTGGATTGCTTAGTTCCAAATGAGTTTGAGAATGAGTTTGTGCACTATTTTTTAAAATGATTTTTTTTTTTGTTGAGAAATAGTAGTTTACATACATGATTATTGAACATATATTTTTCATGAAACATATATTTTTTTTTTATAAAAAGTTCATCTCTTTTTATTATACATTAAATTAAAATAATAAAACAAGAAAACTAAATTAATTATAATAAATTATGCAATAACAATCAACAATCCAAATAAAAAATAAAATAAAGAATACCAATTTTAAGATGATAAAATTAATAAATAAATTTGGTTTAAATCATGGTGTGTGTAATGACTAGACTTAGCCAAAAGTTGATAGCCAACTCTGTTAGCGATAAAATTCATTTTTCATGTTTTGTCTTTTTTTTTTTAATATATAGTGTATATATCTACATATGTAATAATTTCTTTTTCAAAAGTTTTGTATATTGACTTTGAAATTCTATTTTGATAAATGAAATTGTTTGTCGATAAGAAAAAAATAAAATAAATTAGATTAGATATACAAAAAACTTAATTACACCTATGGGCTGAGATTTATAATTGGTTATGTGGAGTCAAAAATAAGGAATTTGGGCTGGAAAAATTGGTTACTCAATGGTGTAGTTTTCCCCTGTACGCTCCAGGATGCGAATCATCTCCTTTGCAGACTTTTTATCGACCTCCTCTGGATGCTTCGCCATTTTGATGCAGGTTTCCTTCAGCTACTTGTCCACGATGCAACCGATATGTGTAACATCAGATTCAATATCATACTCAGTTATCATCTTCTCCAGTACAGCATAAGCTTGTCCTGTAGTTGATTCTTTAATATCATATATAATAAAATGTTTTCGGAAAGTTTTGTATATTAACTTTATAATCTTGATGTTAATGAAGTTGTGTATGAATAAGCAACCTGAAGTTGCCAATTCTTTAACTCCAATGGATTCAACAGCTCAAAAACCCTAAGGTACCCATCAGAATATGCTGCGACCTGGCATAATAGTCAAAGAACCAATAATGGTGATTGGTCGCCTGTTAAGACATCGAAACCAAACCAGCCTAAGAATAAAACAGAAGCTTTACCATCTTCAGACTCTTTCTCGAAACCCCAAATTGAACATCGAGCACTTGGCTAGACTGGTTCTTGATACTCTTGCAAGATTTCCACTCAAGAGCATGTGTGTCTGACAAAACAGAGTAAATTCTCAATCAATAGATTCTTAACGAAACAGCTAAAACACTCAAAATGATATTCAACGTTATCAAACAACAATCCACACATGTATCTATAAAACACTTAGCAACGAATCCATGAAGATTTTTGAAAAAGAGCATAGAGATACCTTCAGAAACCTCCTCCCAAATCGATAAGCTCCCGTCTTCGCAAATGCAGGCTACTGCATCGCCGTATTCCGAAGGCAGCCAGACGATCTTTGCAACACTCGATTCACTAACCCTAACTTTGGAAGTGCAAGTGAAAGAAGAAGAAGAAGAAGAAGAGGGAACAGGAGAGTCGTAGACGGAAAGGATCCCGTCTAAGGAACCGGTGGCTAATCGGTGGCCGGAGTGATTCCAGGAGGAGCAGGTGGTGCCAGAATCTAGAGTCGCCATTGATTTTGCTATTTCTCCGTTCACAGTGACTCAGAGAATCTCGGCTGGATTAACAGAAATTAGGCCGGTATATTGGGCCTATTGTTCTTTTAATTGGCCTGTTTGGTTTTCAAAAACTTAAATTTGTTGAGAATTAAGATGAGACAAACTTAGAGTTTCATTTGTCTTGGAAGATTTTGGGTAAATGTGATTAATTGCAGGTGATTTAAGAATTTAGGGATGTAGGAATAAGCTTGAAGATAACTTCAGACCCAAGTTATTAGAGAATGGAAATATTCTTAGGAGTTATCTAAGAATAAGGAAAATGTAATTCCATTAGGTTTAGGAGTTATCTAAACCCATTCTCTATATAAGGAGATATCAACTTGTGATATAACTTATGAAAGATTGAGAGCTTTAGTTTTTGAGTTAGTTTTCTAAAGCAATAAGACATTTATTCTTAAATCCTGAGTTCTTAAAGTTCTTGATCAATTCATATAAACTAGATTTGGTATCAGAGCCTTATCAAAGTCACGAAAGGAATCCAAACATCCAGCCATGGGAGATTTAGTACCTGCGACAGAAAAACCTAAGGAAGGAGGAAGCTTCCTCCATTCAATGCCCTATGCTTAACACAACTAATTATACTGTTTGGGCTATGCGAATGAGAGTCTGCCTCAAAGTACACAAGGTATGGGAATTAGTAGATCCAGGATCAGAAGACAACGAGAAAAACAATCTAGCCATGGGTCTACTGTTTTAATCTATACCAGAGTCGCTTGTTCTACAAGTTGGTCAACTTGATACGCCGAAGAAAGTTTGGGAAGCAGTTAAAACAAGATACGTTGGAGCAGAAAGAGTAAGGGAAGCTCAGGTACAGACATTGATGACTGATTTTGACCGAATGAAGATGAAGGACTCGAAAAACATCGACGATTTTTCAGGAAAGTTATCAGAACTATCATCAAAATCTGCAGCACTCGGAGTAAGCATTGAAGATTCCAAGCTTGTGAAGAAGTTCCTAAAAAGCTTGCCTCAAAAATACATACATATAGTGGCCTCTCTAGAACAAGTTCTGGATCTCAACACTATTAGCTTTGATGAGATTATAGGGCGGCTAAAAGCTTACGAGGAAAGGATCTCTGAAGAGAGTGAAACTCAAGAAGACTCAACTAAGCTCATGTATGCAAACTCTGAAGATCAAAAAGGACAATCAAGTTATGATTACAACAGTAATTGAACAACTGGAGGGGACGAGGTCGAGGAAGACGACGAGGCAGAGGCCGCAGACGATCTGGTGGGAAAATAGGTACATCGCAAATAACCTGCTACAGATGCGACAAGATCGGCCATTATGCCTCAGATTGTCCTGATCGTTTGTTGAAACTTCAGGAAGCACAAGGGACTAGTACCGAGACACAAAGTGCTGATGAACTTTTAATGCATGAAGTCGTTTATCTAAACGAGAAGCATTGCAAATATGAGAAAAATTCAGAAGAAGAAGACTTGTGGTATCTAGATAACGAGGCCAACAATCATATGACAAGAGATATGAGATATTTTTCAATGATTGATGAAACAATAACAGGAAAGGTTCGTTTTGGTGATGACTCTCGCATCGATATAAAAGGGAAAGGAGCAATCTTGTTCACAGACATGAATGGAGAACCAAGAAGGATGACTGATGTCTATTATATTCCGGATCTTAAAAGCAACATCATCGGTCTTGGTCAAGCTACAGAGTCCGGATGCGATATAAGAATGAAAAGAGAATGCTTGACAATTGATTGGGGGGGGGGGGGTGTGTGTTGTGGATTGTCAAGTTTTACCCTAAATGAAATCAATAGCCGCAAGTGCACAACTGATCGATTGTAGTACTTAGGGATCGAATCCACAGGGAAAGAGGATCTTTCCTGCAAAAGCTTTCGAAAGAGATATAAAATAAGGAAGTCTAGAACCAAACGGTTTTGTGGGGGGGTTTTGGTGGTGTGTTTAAAATGTAAAAACGAATCTTAAAGAGAAAATACGGGAATTAAAATGACCTAATAACTAAACTTAGCGAAAACGAGTAAAAATGGGAAAAACGGCTATCCTAATTGCTTAAATGAAAATCGATTGAAAAGGAATGAAAATATTGAATTAAGGCTTGAAATAAAACGGTGTGAATCTATAAGAAAAAAGGCGCTGGTGTTCAGGGAAGTTTTCACAAGGGTACGAACGATTCAAAACATTGCTAGAGAGTAAATTTGATAAGATCTTAACTTATAGTTTTTGAACTAGAGTCACGGACGTATGAATACGCCACTGTCGTGATCATAGACAACTATCTTTCTCAACCCTGACCAGTAGGTTTCCACTCTGGCCCTGGAAAAGAAGAGATGCATTATGTTTAGACTCGTCAGCATTCAAAAATCACCCATAGGTATGTTTCCACTCCTATATTTGTTTTTCTCTCCCAAACTAGATCTGACACCGGATGAACACTTTCATGTCACCAAGCATCTGGATCAGATTGTAGTTCATGACGTTACTCTCATGCAGTAAAAACGAATTCAGAAGAAAAAGTTCTAAGATTCGGCTCAAAAGCTCATGGAATCCTCATCGAACATAAAATTCCCATCGAAAATCCATTAATCCCAACAATAAAACTACTCAGACATAATGAACGAAATCAAAAACATAGTATTAAAAAGTAGAATAGAAACCGAAATTGAAAAAGAAAAAACAAGAGTTCTAGAGACAAATCTCTCTCTCCCTAAAACCTAAAACTTAAAAAGTATTCTAAAACAATAAGAACATATGAGGGCATACGAATTAGGGTTCCTAAAACATGTATTTATAGTGCTCAAGACATCTATGGGCGTCACTTAGTGTTTCTCCAAATAGGGAATCATTTTGGGCTTCAGAAATGGGCCTTCTGGTTCGGAGTTAGCTGGCCGCGGTCGGGATAGCTGTGACCGCAGGAAATGGGTGGCTGGCCGCGGTCGCGGTGCTTCTGGCCGCAGGAAATACTCTGTTGGCCGCGGGTGGAAACGCTTGCTTGCTGGTTTACGGGACATCTTGCTTTTCGCGTATCTTTTGATTGAACCGTTGGATTGCCAAGCTGTAAAGTGTGCTGGAAAGCTGATACTTCCATCTTTAAGATCTCCAAATTTAAGCTGGATCGGACGGTGAGAAGGCCTTCAATCAGGGGTAAACTTCTGACGGCTTGACTCTGAGCTGAAATCTGGTTTTCTATCAATTTTGTTAAGCTTTTCCCTAAGTTACCTGAAAAGAGTCTTGGAACTACAAGTACTAGAAAAACGTAATAAAAGTACTTGAAAGCAATTAAAAACATAGAAAAAGGTTTTCAAAACGATCCATAAAAATGGTCAAAATACGGTGTTATCAACAATGCATGATGCGACTGGAAAATTACTTGTCAAAGCAAACCGATCCAAAAACAGGCTATACAAAGTTCACATGGGAATAAGAGAACACCAGTGTCTGCACTTGTCAGCAATGAGTGAATCAAAGAGATGGCATTCCAGATTAGGGCACATAAACTTTGACACAATCAGGTCCATGGTGGATAAAGAACTTGTGCGTGGAATTTCGGGTGTAAAGTTTGAGAAGGAAATATGTGGGTCATGTTTGCTAGGTAAACAAGCAAGAAGAGCATTCCCTCAAGCAACTACTTATCGAGCAAGCAAGGCACTCGAACTTGTCCATGGAGTTCTCTGTGGCCCCATAACACCAAGTATCTTAGCTGGAAACAGGTACATTTTTGTGCTCATCGACGATTTCACCAGGTACATGTGGACGATACTTCTAAAAGAAAAGGGCGATGCACTCACCAAATTCAAAAGGTTCAAGAATCTCGTCGAGGCAGAAGTAGGAGGAAGTATTCAAACTTTCCGAACAGACAGAGGAGGAGAATTCGTTTCGAGGGAGTTCAACTCATTCTGCAACATGTCGGGAATAAGAAGACACCTCACTGCGCCGTATACCCCTCAACAAAACGGGGTGGTTGAGAGGCGAAATTGAATCTTATTGGAAATGACGAGAAGCATCATGAAGGACATGAGAATACCCAATTATCTGTGGGGAGAAGCTATCAGACACAGTACGTATCTCTTGAACAGAGTGGCCACTCGAGCTCTTAAAGACAGAACGCCATATGAGCTATATCGAAACAAAAGACCAAACGTGAGTCACCTGAAGGTTTTCGGATGCATCACATATGCAAAAGTGGAGAAGCCGATGCTGAAAAAGTTAGATGACAGGTCTCGAATGCTCGTACATCTTGGAACAGAACCTGGATCAAAGGCATATCGACTTCTAGATCCACAATCTTGGAAAATTGTGGTAAGTAAAGATGTAGTATTCGACGAAGCAAAAGGATGGAACTGGAAGTCGATAAAATCAGAAGAAAACCAAGATGGAGGCTTCGAAATCATGTTTGGAGAATACGGGAACCATGGTATTCAAAGATCAAACGATGAAATAGGAGCAGAACAAGAGGACAAAACAGGGGAAGAAGCAGAGTCACCTGCAGACATAAACGAAACAGGTGATAATGAATTAATAACATCTTGGGAGCAAGAAGCAGAGGCGCAAAACAGTGATGGTCAAAGCGATGGTCTAACTCTGAGAAGGTCATCAAGAGTATCGGTTAAGCCAAAATACTTGACAGAAAAATATGTACTGCTCACGGAAGAGGAATGAGAACGTTTGTTGATGTGTCTGAATGACGAACCTGCAAGTTTTACTGAAGCCAAGAAGTTAAAAGAATGGAGAAACGCGTGTGAAGCTGAACTGTGCTCCATCGAGAAGAATCAAACTTGGAGCCTCGTTGATCTTCCGATACCAATAGGGCTGAAATGGGTTTTTAAGTTTAAGAGAAACTCTGATGGGAGCATCAACAAGCATAAAGCTCGACTAGTTGCAAAGGGTTATGTGCAACGTTTTGGAATTGACTTTGACGAGGTCTTCGCACCAGTGGCACGGTTAGAAACTATAAGGCTTCTCATTAATCTGGC